GTGTTAACACGACTATGATGCGACTGTGATGCAGCTGTGATGTTTAAAGGGTGTAAACACGACTGACTCGGCTGTGATGCAGCTGTGATGTTTAAAGGGTGTAAACACGACTGACTCGGCTGTGATGCAGCTGTGATGTTTAAAGGGTGTTAACACGACTATGATGCGACTGTGATGCAGCTGTGATGTTTAAAGGGTGTAAACACGACTGACGCGGCTGTGATGCAGCTGTGATGTTTAAATGGTTTAAACACGACTAATGCAACTGTGATGCGACTGTCATGTGGCTGTGATGCAGCTGTGATGTTTAAATGGTTTAAACACGACTGTAATGCAACTGTGATGCGACTGTGATGCGACTGTCATGCGGCTGTGATGCAGCTGTGATGTTTAAAGGGTGTAAACACGACTGTCATGTGGCTGTGATGCAGCTGTGATGTTTAAATGGTTTAAACACGACTGTAATGCAACTGTGATGCGACTGTGATGCGACTGTCATGCGGCTGTGAAGCAGCTGTGATGTTTAAATGGTTTAAACACGACTGTAATGCAACTATGATGCGACTGTCATGCGGCTGTGATGCAGCTGTGATGTTTAAAGGGTGTAAACACGACTGACTCGGCTGTGATGCAGCTGTGATGTTTAAAGGGTGTAAACACGACTGACGCGGATGTGATGCGGCTGTGATGTTTAAAGGGTGTAAACACGACTGCCGCGGCTGTGATGCAGCTGTGATGTTTAAAGGGTTTAAACACGACTGTGACGCGGCTGTGATGCGACTGTGATGTGACTGTGATGTTTAAAAGGTTTAAACACGACTGTGATTCGACTGTGATGCGACTGTCATGCGGCTGTGATGCGGCTGTGATGTTTAAAGGGTGTAAACACGACTGTGACGCGGCTGTGATGCAGCTGTGATGTTTAAATGGTTAAAACACGACTGTAATGCGACTGTGATGTGGCTGTGATGTTTAAAGGGTGTAAAAACGACTGTGACGCGGCTGTGATGCGACTGATGCAGCTGTGATGTTTAAAGGGTGTAAACACGACTGATGCGACTGTGATGCGACTGTGATGCGGCTGTGATGCGGCTGTGATGCGGCTGTGATGTTTTAAGGGTTTAAACACGACTGTGATGCGACTGTGATGCGACTGATGCGGCTGTGATGCGGCTGTGATGTTTTAAGGGTTTAAACACGACTGTAATGCAACTGTGATGCGGCTGTGATGCAGCTGTGATGTTTAAAGGGTTTAAACACGACTGACGCGGCTGTGATGCAGCTGTGATGTTTAAAGGGTGTAAACACGACTGTGACGCGGCTGTGATGCAGCTGTGATGTTTAAATGGTTAAAACACGACTGTAATGCAACTGTGATGCAACTGTCATGTGGCTGTGATGCAGCTGTGATGTTTAAAGGGTGTAAACACGACTGACTCGGCTGTGATGCAGCTGTGATGTTTAAAGGGTGTAAACACGACTGACTCGGCTGTGATGCAGCTGTGATGTTTAAAGGGTGTAAACACGACTGTGACGCGGCTGTGATGCAGCTGTGATGTTTAAAGGGTTTAAACACGACTGTAATGCAACTGTGATGCGACTGTGATGCAGCTGTGATGTTTAAAGGGTGTAAACACGACTGACGCGGCTGTGATGCAGCTGTGATGTTTAAAGGGTTTAAACACGACTGTAATGCAACTGTCATGCGGCTGTGATGCAGCTGTGATGTTTAAAGGGTGTAAACACGACTGACGCGGCTGTGATGCAGCTGTGATGTTTAAATGGTTAAAACACGACTGTAATGCAACTGTCATGCGGCTGTGATGCAGCTGTGATTGTTTAAAGGGTGTAAACACGACTGACGCGGCTGTGATGCAGCTGTGATGTTTAAAGGGTTTAAACACGACTGTCTCGGCTGTGATGCAGCTGTGATGTTTAAAGGGTGTAAACACGACTGACGCGGCTGTGATGCAGCTGTGATGTTTAAAGGGTGTAAACACGACTGACGCGGCTGTGATGCAGCTGTGATGTTTAAAGGGTTTAAACACGACTGACGCGGCTGTGATGCAGCTGTGATGTTTAAAGGGTGTAAACACGACTGACTCGGCTGTGATGCAGCTGTTATGTTTAAAGGGTGTAAACACGACTGACGCGGCTGTGATGCAGCTGTGATGTTTAAAGGGTGTAAACACGACTGACTCGGCTGTGATGCAGCTGTGATGTTTAAAGGGTGTAAACACGACTGACTCGGCTGTGATGCAGCTGTGATGTTTAAAGGGTGTTAACACGACTGACGTGGCTGTGATGCAGCTGTGATGTTTAAAGGGTGTAAACACGACTGACTCGGCTGTGATGCAGCTGTGATGTTTAAAGGGTGTAAACACGACTGACTCGGCTGTGATGCAGCTGTTATGTTTAAAGGGTGTAAACACGACTGACGTGGCTGTGATGCAGCTGTGATGTTTAAAGGGTGTAAACACGACTGACTCGGCTGTGATGCAGCTGTTATGTTTAAAGGGTGTAAACACGACTGACTCGGCTGTGATGCAGCTGTTATGTTTAAAGGGTGTAAACACGACTGACGCGGCTGTGATGCAGCTGTGATGTTTAAAGGGTGTTAACACGACTATGATGCGACTGTGATGCAGCTGTGATGTTTAAAGGGTGTAAACACGACTGACTCGGCTGTGATGCAGCTGTGATGTTTAAAGGGTGTAAACACGACTGACTCGGCTGTGATGCAGCTGTGATGTTTAAAGGGTGTTAACACGACTATGATGCGACTGTGATGCAGCTGTGATGTTTAAAGGGTGTAAACACGACTGACGCGGCTGTGATGCAGCTGTGATGTTTAAATGGTTTAAACACGACTAATGCAACTGTGATGCGACTGTCATGTGGCTGTGATGCAGCTGTGATGTTTAAATGGTTTAAACACGACTGTAATGCAACTGTGATGCGACTGTGATGCGACTGTCATGCGGCTGTGATGCAGCTGTGATGTTTAAAGGGTGTAAACACGACTGTCATGTGGCTGTGATGCAGCTGTGATGTTTAAATGGTTTAAACACGACTGTAATGCAACTGTGATGCGACTGTGATGCGACTGTCATGCGGCTGTGAAGCAGCTGTGATGTTTAAATGGTTTAAACACGACTGTAATGCAACTATGATGCGACTGTCATGCGGCTGTGATGCAGCTGTGATGTTTAAAGGGTGTAAACACGACTGACTCGGCTGTGATGCAGCTGTGATGTTTAAAGGGTGTAAACACGACTGACGCGGATGTGATGCGGCTGTGATGTTTAAAGGGTGTAAACACGACTGCCGCGGCTGTGATGCAGCTGTGATGTTTAAAGGGTTTAAACACGACTGTGACGCGGCTGTGATGCGACTGTGATGTGACTGTGATGTTTAAAAGGTTTAAACACGACTGTGATTCGACTGTGATGCGACTGTCATGCGGCTGTGATGCGGCTGTGATGTTTAAAGGGTGTAAACACGACTGACGCGGCTGTGATGCGACTGTGATGTTTAAAGGGTTTAAACACGACTGTGACGCGGATGTGATGCGACTGTGATGTTTAAAGGGTTTAAACACGACTGTGATGCGACTGTGATGCGACTGTCGTGCGGCTGTGATGCGGCTGTGATGTTTAAAGGGTTTAAACACGACTGTGACGCGGATGTGATGCGACTGTGATGTGGCTGTGATGTTTAAAGGGTTTAAACACGACTGTAATGCGACTGTGATGCGACTGTCATGTGGCTGTGATGCAGCTGTTATGTTTAAAGGGTGTAAACACGACTGACTCGGCTGTGATGCAGCTGTGATGCAGCTGTGATGTTTAAAGGGTGTAAACACGACTGACGCGGCTGTGATGCAGCTGTGATGTTTAAAGGGTTTAAACACGACTGTAATGCAACTGTCATGTGGCTGTGATGCAGCTGTTATGTTTAAAGGGTGTAAACACGACTGACTCGGCTGTGATGCAGCTGTGATGTTTAAAGGGTGTAAACACGACTGACTCGGCTGTGATGCAGCTGTGATGTTTAAAGGGTTTAAACACGACTGTAATGCAACTGTCATGTGGCTGTGATGCAGCTGTTATGTTTAAAGGGTGTAAACACGACTGACTCGGCTGTGATGCAGCTGTTATGTTTAAAGGGTGTAAACACGACTGACTCGGCTGTGATGCAGCTGTGATGTTTAAAGGGTGTTAACACGACTGACGTGGCTGTGATGTGGCTGTGATGTTTAAAGGGTTTAAACACGACTGTGATACGACTGATGCAACTGTCATGCGGCTGTGATGCAGCTGTGATGTTTAAAGGGTGTAAACACGACTGACTCGGCTGTGATGCAGCTGTGATGTTTAAAGGGTGTAAACACGACTGACTCGGCTGTGATGCAGCTGTGATGTTTAAAGGGTTTAAACACGACTGTAATGCAACTGTGATGCAACTGTCATGTGGCTGTGATGCAGCTGTGATGTTTAAAGGGTTTAAACACGACTGTGATGCGACTGATGCAACTGTCATGTGGCTGTGATGCAGCTGTTATGTTTAAAGGGTGTAAACACGACTGACTCGGCTGTGATGCAGCTGTGATGTTTAAAGGGTGTAAACACGACTGATGCGGCTGTGATGTGGCTGTGATGTTTAAAGGGTTTAAACACGACAGTGATGCGGCTGTGATGCGGCTGTGATGCGGCTGTGATGTGGCTGTGATGTTTAAAGGGTTTAAACACGACAGTGATGCGGCTGTGATGCGGCTGTGATGCGGCTGTGATGTGGCTGTGATGTTTAAAGGGTTTAAACACGACAGTGATGCGGCTGTGATGCGGCTGTGATGTGGCTGTGATGTTTAAAGGGTTTAAACACGACAGTGATGCGGCTGTGATGCGGCTGTGATGTGGCTGTGATGTTTAAAGGGTTTAAACACGACTGTGATGCGGCTGTGATGCGGCTGTGATGCGGTCTGGCGTGGCTGTACTCACCAATCCCGCTGTTGGCCCCCGTGATGAGCACCAGACGGTCGGACAGGTCTCGGCCGTGCAGCACCTCCAGAGCCGAGCTGTTCCCGTCGAAGCGCTTGGGCTTCAGCTGCACGTCCTCCACGGTGAAGGCCTGCCGCGGGTCGAAGTACGTGCTCCGCTTGTTGATGTGGCTGAGACAAGAGTTCAGCAGCACAACACACAGTTACACAACACCAGTGCAGTAGACTGCTTCATTTAACATGTTATCACAAAGAAAACATGCTGAACAAAATTATAATTAAACAAATGTGGTTGTGAAATGGGCGGGGCTTAGCGTCCTGAACGTCTCTGATTGGATATAAATAAAAACTCTTCTATTTTAACTTATATCGAAGTTTATTACTGTCATTATTATTCAGGTGTGAGTTATTGTCCAGATCACAAGAGTTTTCTCTATGACTTTTTATGACTGCCTCTTTTCTGCCAAAATACCATATTCTGTATATTATAATCCATTTTATATAAAATATTATAATACAAACATAACTATAAAATAACTTCTAAAAACTTCTCTTTATTTATTTATATGACGTCTAAAACCTTTATATTATTTGTTTGTTCATTTATTTCCGTACTTATCATTGTAATATCTCTGTATGTATTTGCTTGTGTTCAAGTTTCATTAATCAGGAAGAAAATGTTTAAAATATTTAGTGTGCATATATCTAAAAATTTATTTGTCAAGTGGATTAAAATTAGTTTGTAACGCTTTACAATAAGGTTTCATAAGTGAAATACATTAGTAAACATGAACAATATTTCTAAAGAATTGTATTATCACATTTAATGTTAATTTCAAAATTTACTAATTCATTATTAAAATCAAAAAGCTGTCTTTGTTTATATTATTTTACTGAATTGAGCTAACATGAACAGCTGTGTTTTATTACCGATCATTAACAAAGATTAATAAATACTGCATCATAAAAATGTATTGCTCAATGTTAGTTTTTGTTATTGAATGAAACCTTATTGAAAAGTGTTACCAATTAATTTATTATTAATTAGCCTGAAAGCTCAGAGACAAATCTGTCTGAAGGGAAACTATAATATATAATATGACTAATTGAACTCACTCAACATAGAGGATTTGGCCTTTATCATCGGTCTCTTGCTCCCATCCATATGGCAAAGCTGGAAAATACAATAAATAAGTGACTTAATCATTGATTTATCATCATTGCATATCAAAACTCTCTTCTGAAAGCTCTGCACACTTCAGTAGAGTGTATTAATGACGTTGAGATATTTTAATACAGTTATGACGGTGAGATGATCAGTTATTGTTCATAAATCAATCCTCAAACCTCCAGCACAGCGCTTCTTCTTCCCAGTTTTGGGATGCTCCCACTGAGTCTTCATTTCCTCATGGCTGAAACGAGTTATGACAATATCATGTGTCTGTCAGTGCTTCTATAAATCTTCTATAGATACTCATTATTATGAACAGTGTGAAGGCGCGCGCTCGTCTCAAACACTCACTTGGCATAATAAACCCATCCGTCTGTCGTGGATCTCTCTTCCCAGCCGGGGGGAAGCTCGTCTTCACTGTCTGTATCATCCATTCCGGCGTATTTAAGAGCTGCCATCGCGGAATGATTGTTTTCAAATAAAATAACTCATTCAACTTCTCAATGAAATTTCGGTAACAGCAAATTCACGTTGCGATAATCCGGCTGGACCACTTCCGCAAATACAACAATGCGTCACACAAGTGGGCGGGGCTTAGCTACCTGAACGTCTCTAATTGGTCAGGTGCGATGTATCTAAATAAAAACTTTATTTTATTTACTTGTGGCTTATATTAAAGTTTATTTTTCTAATTTCTTAAGCGTAAAATAATAATTTACCTTTAGGATTTATCTTTGCAAAAAATTATATGTTTCAATTTTTCCTAACAAAATACCATATACACAAATGAAAATATAGTGGTCTTGTTTTAAAATAATAACTTGAAGATTACTCAATTCTCCTAAAATCTCAAATCAACAACATATGTGGGGCTTTTCTCATAGATTGGTGTGTCTGAACGGAAAAAATCACAAACGTAGGCAAGTCACGTGGTACCTGTTACTTTCCTCAGCGCTGATCAGGATGGACCAACCAGTCTTTTGCGATTACCGCCAAAGGTTTTTTTATCCTTTCTTAATAATGTTATGGATATTTCCCTTCTATCTCATGTACAAATCGCTGTAACTAATATATTACCAAACGACTTAGCCTGCAAATAAATGTTAGTAAGATAAAAGCCGTTATGATATTTCACAGATATTTCGAGTCTTTTGAGCGCCGCCTGATTATTAACGATATTTAACGGCCAACGCTTCAAACAAGCCTTCGACTTTTTCCTAATGGTTAGTCAACACTTATTTACATGAGGTAAAATAGATATTAAAACTCCGAAGCAACACATGACATTTAACTCACATTTGAGATTGTTTCCCCCATAATGACCATAAGCTTTGTTTATACAAAATGTCGATTTGAAAACTCAAAACAAAAAAGCATAGACCTTTGTACATTACTTTATTGCTTAGTTTCATTCAATGAACTTTTTTCTCTTTCATAACAGCTCGTCAATTTGCAGAGTTTTGGTGTCAGTAAACATGTAAATATTACTCACACAATCATACACCTCAGCTTTCACATTAACATGCATGGAAACAACCAGGACAGATAATAATAATAATATCATTGTCAGTGTTATTTTATTGTGGTGATCCAAAAAAAAATATTCATAGTAAATAATCTTTCATGACAGCTGCACAACAATTCTCTGTTTCAGTGTGTGCGTATATTCTGGAATCAAAATCTAGATAATATAAAATTAATGACAATAACTAGCTAACAATGAGTAACTTCACAACCTCTGAGCTCTAAACCCAAACTTAAAACATAAAATCAACATAAAATCAGTTAATCTAAGGCCTCGGTTCAAACAATCAGAAAGTGTATGGCAGGTCCCATCGTCTTCAGCAGTAAATCACAATTAAAACGAGATTAACTATCAACTATTCTTAACAAAAAACATTTTCTCTCTCGCAGTCGCATTTATCTTTGGAAATCCGTGTTTCATTATTCATTTCAGATGGCATGTTCAAAAATAACTTCACAATCAGAAGAAGGGTTCACAGTGATCTTCGTCTCGGTGCATCCGGCACTCGTGTCGTGTCATACTTTATATTTCTCTTTGGCGCTGTCGCTTAATATACAGATATGCTGAAAGAGAAACAGAGCGAAGGTGTTAGGACATCAGACTGGTTATGCACATTTAAAACAGTAAACCAGAAACGAACAGGACTAAACACTCACACTCAAATCCCTGAAATACTCATTGTAGTCTAAAGCATATCCCACCAGGAACTTGTCCGGAACTTCAAATCCAATGTCTGAAGGAAGACGACGTGTAAACATGCACACACACACAAAGGGGGACATTAAACTATATTCAGCAAGAAAAAAACTAAGATGTTTCGCATTATTTTCAAATTAAGCACATTCCAAAAAAAATTATTTAAAAAAATTATATGAATTAATACTATATTAAGAATTATATAATAGTAATAACAACTAAGCACATTAAAAAATATATTAAAATTATATATATATATATATAATTCAATATTTTAAGTCTATATTATTTTCATGACAACTAAGAAAATTCTAAATATTAATACTATATAGTATATTTAGAATTCTATAATATTATTTGAATGAAAATTTAGCACAATCCAAAATAAAAATATGATTGATATATATATACACTCACCGGCCACTTTATTAGGTACACCTGTCCAACTGCTCGTTAACACTTAATTTCTAAGCAGCCAATCACATGGCGGCAACTCAGTGCATTTAGGCATGTAGACATGGTCAAGACAATCTCCTGCAGTTCAAACCGAGCATCAGTATGGGGAAGAAAGTTGATTTGAGTGACTTTGAACGTGGCATGATTGTTGGTGCCAGAAGGGCTGGTCTGAGTATTTCAGAAACTGCTAATCTACTGGGATTTTCACGCACAACCATCTCTAGGGTTTACAGAGAATGGTCCGAAAAAGAAAAAACATCCAGTGAGCGGCAGTTCTGTGGGCGGAAATGCCTTGTTGATGCCAGAGGTCAGAGGAGAATGGCCAGACTGGTTCGAGCTGATAGAAGGGCAACAGTGACTGAAATAACCACTCGTTACAACCGAGGTATGCAGCAAAGCATTTGTGAAGCCACAACACGCACAACCTTGAGGCGGATGGGCTACAACAGCAGAAGACTCCACCGGGTACCACTCATCTCCACTACAAATAGGAAAAAGAGGCTACAATTTGCAAGAGCTCACCAAAATTGAACAGTTGAAGACTGGAAAAATGTTGCCTGGTCTGATGAGTCTCGATTTCTGTTGAGACATTCAGATGTTAGAGTCAGAATTTGGCGTAAACAGAATGAGAACATGGAACCATCATGCCTTGTTACCACTGTGCAGGCTGGTGGTGGTGGTGTAATGGTGTGGGGGATGTTTTCCTGGCACACTTTAAGGCCCCTTAGTGCCAATTGGGCATCGTTTAAATGCCACGGCCTACCTGAGCATTGTTTCTGACCATGTCCATCCCTTTATGGCCACCATGTACCCATCCTCTGATGGCTACTTCCACCATGTCACAAAGCTCTAATCATTTCAAATTGGTTTCTTGAACATGACAATGAGTTCACTGTACTAAAATGGCCTCCACAGTCACCAGATCTCAATCCAATAGAGCATCTTTGGGATGTGGTGGAACGGGAGATTCGCATCATGGATGTGCAGCCGACAAATCTGCGGCAACTGTGTGATGCCATCATGTCAATATGGACCAAACTCCCTGAGGAATGCTTCCAGCACCTTGTTGAATCTATGCCACGAAGAATTGAGGCAGTTCTGAAGGCAAAAGGGGGTCCAACCCGTTACTAGCATGGGGTACCTAATAAAGTGGCCGGTGAGTGTATATATATATATATATCATATTTTAATTTTGGAATGTGCTAAATTTAGAGCGAAATAATATATATATATATATATATATATATATATATATATATATATATAAAATATTCAATATTATAATTCTATAATATTATTTTCATGACAACTAAGCACATTCCAAATTAATACAAAAATGATAATAATAAGTATTATTATTATTTTATATATATATATATATATATATATATATATATATTAAGAACATATTTAAACCCATTATATATATATAAAATATTATAATTATATAATATTATTTTCATGACAACTAAGCACATTGCAAATTAATAAAAAAATGATGATAATATATATATATATATATATATATATATATATATATATATATATATATATATATATATATATATATAATGGGTTTAAATATGTTCTTGGCAGGTCGTAAACGGGTAAACTTCATGGTCCAACAATACCCATATTTAGTGTATGTAATCTGGTGTGTGTTGTGTTTAGGCAAACGGTCCCGTGACTCTGGCTTCTACAGGAAATACCATAGAGTTGATTTGACACTCAATCTTTGACGTCACTGTTTCCATTCATGTTTCTACAGTCGCACTTTATCATCAGTGTGCGAACAGCCGTCGAGGAGGACCTCAGCGGATCAGTGTTTCAGCAGCAGAGAGAGACTCGGGCAAGCGAGGAGAGCACACTGCGTCAGCTCGACAGTGGAAGTCAAGAGCGAAAGAGTGTGCTCAAGGACGGGTGGATATAAAGAGCTTATCAGCTTTCCCTCTAAAAGCATTGCGTAACAGATGAGCGGTGAGTGTGTGTCTAATGTGTGCAACGACAGGGTGTTTTATTTCTCCAAGTGATGTGGATTAAGCACAAAATATTCATAATATCCCATAAAAACCCACGATGAGAAGCACTCACAGTCGGGACGGTATCCTGAGCTCCTGGGTGTCCTTTTCACCAGTAAACTGGAAATAAACCACACTGAATTCAATATCCTGAGATATAGTAAATAAAAAGAACGACGTTTGAATAAACAATAATCTTATTGTAAACACTAAAGCCATTTAACCATTTAAAGACTCGTTCACACCAGGCTTGTGCACAATTCAGAAGTGAATTGAGAATGACTCCTGAATTCCAATTCAATTCTTGAATTTGAATTGAGGTCAAATACAGGATCTAGAATTACAATTCGAATTTGAATTAAAGCAAGCAGAATTGCAATTCAATAAAAATTCAAAGAAATTCAAATAGATATTTTAAGTGAAGTGTTTAACAATGAAGCTTTACAGTATATGTCAGATATGATTGCATTACATATTCTATAAATTATATTAGTTTGAACAACTTTTTGCATTAACAGCAAATGACTTAATGTTAAAAGCTCTAGTCACAGTCACAAATTCAGTTTTATTTATTGTAATTGTAATTTTGTGGAACATGATGGAACATTTTACAGAATTACTGTAGTAAATCTTTAGAAGAAAAAAAAACAATTTGAGGTGGACATTTGTTTATATATATATATATTTTTTTACAAAGGGTTGAGGAGTGACTAGTTACCTGTAATGAAACTATGTTATTGAATTACAAAATGAATTAAACTGTATTTAGTTGTATTACTGAGGTAAAACGTGTAATTCAATTAGTTACTAATCAAATTAAAAGGAAATTACTTTATTTTGATTACTTTATCAATGTAAAGCAATCCAAACCACACTTATAATGGGTAACTTATAACAGTGAGAAATAACATTTCCTAACACTGAATGTGTGTGAGATTCAACACGTATCTCTTTCTGCTGTGTGACTGTGGAATTCCTTTAAATCGCCATGAATGATCAGAACTACATGGGCATCCACACCGGCGGAAGATCTCGCTTGTTTACTCAGGTCTGTGTCTTTAAACGAACTACATGGGCATCCACACCGGCGGAAGATCTCGCTCGTTTACTCAGGTCTGTGTCTTTAAATGAACTACATGGGCATCCACACCGGCGGAAGATCTCGCTTGTTTACTCAGGTCTGTGTCTTTAAACGAACTACATGGGCATCCACACCAGCGGAAGATCTCGCTCGTTTACTCAGGTCTGTGTCTTTAAACGAACTACATGGGCATCCACACCGGCGGAAGATCTCGCTCGTTTACTCAGGTCTGTGTCTTTAAATGAACTACATGGGCATCCACACCGGCGGAAGATCTCGCTTGTTTACTCAGGTCTGTGTCTTTAAACGAACTACATGGGCATCCACACCAGCGGAAGATCTCGCTCGTTTACTCAGGTCTGTGTCTTTAAACGAACTACATGGGCATCCACGCCAGCGGAAGATCTCGCTCGTTTACTCAGGTCTGTGTCTTTAAACGAACTACATGGGCATCCACACCGGCGGAAGATCTCGCTCGTTTACTCAGGTCTGTGTCTTTAAATGAACTACATGGGCATCCACACCGGCGGAAGATCTCGCTTGTTTACTCAGGTCTGTGTCTTTAAACGAACTACATGGGCATCCACACCAGCGGAAGATCTCGCTCGTTTACTCAGGTCTGTGTCTTTAAACGAACTACATGGGCATCCACGCCAGCGGAAGATCTCGCTCGTTTACTCAGGTCTGTGTCTTTAAACGAACTACATGGGCATCCACACCGGCGGAAGATCTCGCTCGTTTACTCAGGTCTGTGTCTTTAAACGAACTACATGGGCATCCACACCAGCGGAAGATCTCGCTCGTTTACTCAGGTCTGTGTCTTTAAACGAACTACATGGGCATCCACACCGGCGGAAGATCTCGCTTGTTTACTCAGGTCTGTGTCTTTAAACGAACTACATGGGCATCCACACCAGCGGAAGATCTCGCTCGTTTACTCAGGTCTGTGTCTTTAAACGAACTACATGGGCATCCACACCAGCGGAAGATCTCGCTCGTTTACTCAGGTCTGTGTCTTTAAACGAACTACATGGGCATCCACACCAGCGGAAGATCTCGCTCGTTTACTCAGGTCTGTGTCTTTAAACGAACTACATGGGCATCCACACCAGCGGAAGATCTCGCTCGTTTACTCAGGTCTGTGTCTTTAAACGAACTACATGGGCATCCACACCAGCGGAAGATCTCGCTCGTTTACTCAGGTCTGTGTCTTTAAACGAACTACATGGGCATCCACACCGGCGGAAGATCTCGCTCGTTTACTCAGGTCTGTGTCTTTAAACGAACTACATGGGCATCCACACCGGCGGAAGATCTCGCTCGTTTACTCAGGTCTGTGTCTTTAAACGAACTACATGGGCATCCACACCAGCGGAAGATCTCGCTCGTTTACTCAGGTCTGTGTCTTTAAACGAACTACATGGGCATCCACGCCAGCGGAAGATCTCGCTCGTTTACTCAGGTCTGTGTCTTTAAACGAACTACATGGGCATCCACACCAGCGGAAGATCTCGCTCGTTTACTCAGGTCTGTGTCTTTAAACGAACTACATGGGCATCCACACCGGCGGAAGATCTCGCTCGTTTACTCAGGTCTGTGTCTTTAAACGAACTACATGGGCATCCACACCAGCGGAAGATCTCGCTCGTTTACTCAGGTCTGTGTCTTTAAACGAACTACATGGGCATCCACACCAGCGGAAGATCTCGCTCGTTTACTCAGGTCTGTGTCTTTAAACGAACTACATGGGCATCCACACCAGCGGAAGATCTCGCTTGTTTACTCAGGTCTGTGTCTTTAAACGAACTACATGGGCATCCACGCCAGCGGAAGATCTCGCTCGTTTACTCAGGTCTGTGTCTTTAAACGAACTACATGGGCATCCACACCAGCGGAAGATCTCGCTTGTTTACTCAGGTCTGTGTCTTTAAACGAACTACATGGGCATCCACGCCAGCGGAAGATCTCGCTCGTTTACTCAGGTCTGTGTCTTTAAACGAACTACATGGGCATCCACACCAGCGGAAGATCTCGCTCGTTTACTCAGGTCTGTGTCTTTAAACGAACTACATGGGCATCCACACCGGCGGAAGATCTCGCTCGTTTACTCAGGTCTGTGTCTTTAAACGAACTACATGGGCATCCACACCAGCGGAAGATCTCGCTCGTTTACTCAGGTCTGTGTCTTTAAACGAACTACATGGGCATCCACGCCAGCGGAAGATCTCGCTCGTTTACTCAGGTCTGTGTCTTTAAACGAACTACATGGGCATCCACACCGGCGGAAGATCTCGCTCGTTTACTCAGGTCTGTGTCTTTAAACGAACTACATGGGCATCCACACCAGCGGAAGATCTCGCTCGTTTACTCAGGTCTGTGTCTTTAAACGAACTACATGGGCATCCACACCGGCGGAAGATCTCGCTTGTTTACTCAGGTCTGTGTCTTTAAACGAACTACATGGGCATCCACACCAGCGGAAGATCTCGCTCGTTTACTCAGGTCTGTGTCTTTAAACGAACTACATGGGCATCCACACCAGCGGAAGATCTCGCTCGTTTACTCAGGTCTGTGTCTTTAAACGAACTACATGGGCATCCACACCAGCGGAAGATCTCGCTCGTTTACTCAGGTCTGTGTCTTTAAACGAACTACATGGGCATCCACACCAGCGGAAGATCTCGCTCGTTTACTCAGGTCTGTGTCTTTAAACGAACTACATGGGCATCCACACCAGCGGAAGATCTCGCTCGTTTACTCAGGTCTGTGTCTTTAAACGAACTACATGGGCATCCACACCGGCGGAAGATCTCGCTCGTTTACTCAGGTCTGTGTCTTTAAACGAACTACATGGGCATCCACACCGGCGGAAGATCTCGCTCGTTTACTCAGGTCTGTGTCTTTAAACGAACTACATGGGCATCCACACCAGCGGAAGATCTCGCTCGTTTACTCAGGTCTGTGTCTTTAAACGAACTACATGGGCATCCACGCCAGCGGAAGATCTCGCTCGTTTACTCAGGTCTGTGTCTTTAAACGAACTACATGGGCATCCAAACCAGCGGAAGATCTCGCTCGTTTACTCAGGTCTGTGTCTTTAAACGAACTACATGGGCATCCACACCGGCGGAAGATCTCGCTCGTTTACTCAGGTCTGTGTCTTTAAACGAACTACATGGGCATCCACACCAGCGGAAGATCTCGCTCGTTTACTCAGGTCTGTGTCTTTAAACGAACTACATGGGCATCCACACCAGCGGAAGATCTCGCTCGTTTACTCAGGTCTGTGTCTTTAAATGAACTACATGGGCATCCACGCCAGCGGAAGATCTCGCTCGTTTACTCAGGTCTGTGTCTTTAAACGAACTACATGGGCATCCACACCAGCGGAAGATCTCGCTCGTTTACTCAGGTCTGTGTCTTTAAACGAACTACATGGGCATCCACACCAGCGGAAGATCTCGCTTGTTTACTCAGGTCTGTGTCTTTAAACGAACTACATGGGCATCCACGCCAGCGGAAGATCTCGCTCGTTTACTCAGGTCTGTGTCTTTAAACGAACTACATGGGCATCCACACCAGCGGAAGATCTCGCTCGTTTACTCAGGTCTGTGTCTTTAAACGAACTACATGGGCATCCACGCCAGCGGAAGATCTCGCTCGTTTACTCAGGTCTGTGTCTTTAAACGAACTACATGGGCATCCACACCAGCGGAAGATCTCGCTCGTTTACTCAGGTCTGTGTCTTTAAACGAACTACATGGGCATCCACACCGGCGGAAGATCTCGCTCGTTTACTCAGGTCTGTGTCTTTAAACGCTCGAGCTCGTTAAAGCAGGACTGACTAAGGATGGGCGATACCATTTATTTCGTTTTCGATACCAGTACTTCTAAACTGAACTTTTAAATTTGAAAAATTCTTAAATTATTGAATTACTAAGATTAAAATGGGTAATGATACCAACTTAACATTATATTTTAAAGGCATTTTAACATTCAATACACCTTAATTGGAACTTATTAGATTATATTTTTATTTACACGTGGTTACAATGTTTACTTGTTGTGGTAACCATGGAAATCTACAAAGTATTATAGGCCTAGTTGATCTATGATCACTGTAATGTTCGTTTTCATAAGAGACTGCTGTTGCACCCATAAAATGCAACCTTTTTATTCTGACAGTGAATGATTTATATTAAAATCAGTTACAGAATAGAACTACCTTTTAACATTCAAAAAATAATTTATTTGCACAAACTACGTAGTTTCTGTCTTCTGATAAGCATTGTTCAGGGCTGCGTTTCCCAACACCATCAATGGTTTCTTGGGATACTTTTGGGAAACGCAGCCCTGTTTGAATGCACTGTCGGCAGTGTGTGAACACTCTCTGTGATTGATTGCTTCTGACTTGCAGCATTTGCGTGTGTTCAGATAAGCAGGAAAATAGTTATACTACACAATTATTTACTAAACAGGTTATTCATCCAATGCAATGCATATTGTACGCATTAAACTTCTTGTCAAATAAACAAAATCACTGGTAAAAAATGTTATTTGAGTATCGATACTTTCGATACTCGACGTCAGTAATCGATATATCGATACGCCCATCCCTAGGACTGACTCTGATTGGCTGTCAGTGTTGTGTCCTTCATCATCAGCTGGATCAGATCGTTCTGAAAGTGATTCTAGTGATATCGTTATAGCTGTGTAACTCTATTCTTTTCGATTTAAAACGACTCTAGCTTTATCATTATCACTATAGTTAGCCTCTCTGGTGTGAACTGGCATTAAATGTTAAATGTCCTGAATACACACGTGTCTGAAATATGGACGCCGATGCTCTCGGTTTGCACCTCGGAGATGTTTACGTCTCACCTGACAACTTTCACCATCTTAGGATGGTATTCATTTAATAGTTTGAGCAGCGTTTCCATAGTTCTCCCCGTCTCGACGATGTCCTGAGGCACAAAGAGAGGACTCAGCATCTGTGTGTGTTTCTCACAGCACACACACTTCACATGACATGCCATACACTGAACCTCACCTCAACTATGAGCACGTTCTGTGAGGAGAGAAAGAAGACAAACTAACAATCTGACCAACATTTCAAAAAGCATAAACACTACTGTTCAAACGTTTGTGCTCAGTGCAAGTTATTCATTCATAAACGTGTTTCAGCAATGATGCATTAAACTGATCAAAAGTGACCGTAAAGACATTATAATGTTACAAAATTATTTTTAATTTATGATTATTTTTTGTTTTAAACTTTCTATCCATCAAAGAATCCAGAAAAAAAATATCAGTTTCCACTCAAATTTAAAGCACATGAACTGTTTTCAACACTGATAATAATCATAAATGTGTCTTGAGCATCAGATCATCATATTAGAGTGATTTCTGAAGGATCATGTGACACTGAAGACTGGAGTAATGATGCTGAAAATACAGCTTTGATCACAGGAATAAATTACACTTTACTGTATATTCACACAGAAAACAGCTGATTTACATTAGAATAATATTTCACAGTTTTTACTGTATTTTTGACAAGATAAATGCAGCCTTGATGAGCAGAGGAGACTCTTTTAAAAACACTAAGCAATCTTACCGACGCCAAATGCTTCGTGGAAATAGAAACTAAACCAAAGAGTGTGGAGGGATCAGACTCACTTTTCCAGACAGAGCCGACAGCTCGTCTCCTCCGATGACCTTCACACAGCTTGTAGACTGGTCATTCTGGAGCGGAATCACATCAGAAATAAACACTTTAAACTAGTGTGAGTGATGAGACATGCTTACAGCAAACACTGCTAACTGTGTGATTTGAGCTTTAAAGCCGTGTAATTATTCCTTTGAGCTGGAACTACTTTTCTATAGCATTAACTTATAGTTTTACTATGTGTAGGCGTTTGGTTAAATGATTATGCAGTTTGTTTATTATGGGCCACCGTAGTGGGTTGTCTCAACCAGTCAGAATGCCCGGTGGTTTTGGTGCACTTCTATCTGGTCTGTATCGGATGCCAGTTATCGAATGTTTGGATTAAACGCAGTCATTTACATTCTGTGTTATCATTGACTCATACAAACAAATACAGACTTTCTACATGGTGTCAGAAGCGAGTACGGACCTCTCGCCAGTGAGTGTTTTTTCTTTCTTTCTCTGTCGTCGTTGAACAACCTGTTGCATTGGACCGCGCTAGCGTAGCTATCGCCAGTTGACAACGTTGTTTTCCTCTACCCAACGTGATGGCGGATGGATTTCGCAGACCCGACCCTCTCGTTTTTGATGAAAATATCGCCGAGAATTGGCGTATTTTTGAGAGGGAGTACGATATTTTTATTGCTGCCGCACATTCGGACAAGTCAACAAAAACCCAAGCTTATATCCTTCTCAACATTGCCGGTCCAGACGCCATCGAACGAGAGCGTTCTTTTGCCTACGCTGCTGAAGTGCGCGCGCCAGGAGATGGCGGAAGGATCATTACCCCTGCTGAATCTCGAGAGGACCCCGAATGTTTAAAGAAAAAGTTTCGGGAAATCTGCAATCCTCAAAACAACAGGACTATGGAAAGACACAAATTTCATACCAGAGGTCAGAAACAAGGTGAGAGCATTGAATCATTCATTAGTGATTTAAGGATTAAGGCTAAAGGCTGCCACTTTAGAGACCTAACAGAGGAGCTAATCTGCGACCGCATCGTGTGTGGCGTTACCAGCGACACGTTGAGAAAAGCTCTGTTAAGGGACAGCGAGCTAACACTTGCCAAAGCCATTTCAATCTGTCGGATACACGAGATGACCGAGGAAAGTAGCAAGACGTTAGCATCGCAAAGTAACTCTGCCAGCGTGAATGCAGTTAAGCTAGTTTCAAACAGAATGCAGTGGCCAAAGCCCCAGCCCTCCTCACAGACTATCACGAGGTGCAACAATTGTGGAGGCAGCCACGCAGCTAAGCGGGAAAGGTGTCCAGCATTCGGACAACAGTGTCACAGTTGCCAAAAGTTTAACCACTTTAAAAGTTACTGCAAGTCTAAACCGTGCAGACAAGATAGGCAACCTCCTAGACAGAAAACTGGCAGACAGAGCGTTAACGAGATAGAAATAGAGGAACAAACATGTGAAGATGGAACGTTTTATGTGGACGGCGTTGAAGTTGACAGTCAGGTTGATTGCGTGAATCTAAAAGCCATTGAAAAGGATGAAGGATTTGTCACAATGCGTATAAACGGCAAGCCCACAGAGATGAAAGTGGACACAGGAGCAAAATGCAATGTGATGTCACTGGACACCCTCAGAAGGCTTAATGGCAGCGAACAACTTGTAAAGCAGAAGAAAGCAGCTAGCCTTGTTGCTTATGGAGGCACCAGAATTGAGACCAGTGGAATCGCCACACTGCGGTGCTGCCTAAAGGAGCAGAACCACTCACTGCCGTTTTTCATTGTGGACAGAGCAGTGCAACCACTGCTAGGATTTCGTGCGTGCATGGACATGGGGGTTGTGAAAATGAGTCTAGACGTCCACCAGATCAGCGTGGAGAGCAGCACGGACTTTAGCTCACAGACATTTACACAGTACAAAGACCTGTTCAGCGACGAGTTAGGAGAACTTCCGGTTACATACTCCATGATTTTGGATACCAGCATACAGCCTGTGGTCCGCCCAGCTCACCGTATCCCCGTTGCAATGCAAGAAAGAGTTAAAGCTGAACTTGAACGAATGCAATGCGTGGGTGTCATAACACCAGTCACAGAACCAACCGACTGGGTGTCGTCCATGGTAGCAGCACATAAGAAGGATAAGCGAGAAATCAGACTATGTATCAACCCCAAAGACCTCAACACTGCACTGAAAAGACCCCATCACCCAATGCGCAGCGTCGAAGAGGTGGCAGCGCAAATGTCTGGGGCAACAGTGTTTTCAGGTTAAACCCGAACAAGTGTAAATTTCGCCTGGGCCAGGTAGCGTACGTAGGCCACATCTTCACAAGCGAAGGCCTAAAAGCAGACCCGTCTAAAACTGCAGCGATCAACGACATGCCAGTCCCAACGGATTTGACCGCACTACAACGCTTCCTGGGCATGGTCAATTACCTCAGCAAGTACATCCCAAATCTCAGCGACATCGCAGCGCCCCTTAGGAAACTCACTCGCAAAGAGACAGCATGGTGCTGGTTTCAACAGCACCAAGAGGCTTTCGAGCGCCTCAAATCATGCCTGTCCAGCCCACCAGTACTGGCATACTACAATGTCAAAGACCCAGTTACACTGACTTGTGACGCGTCATGTTATGGACTAGGAGCAGCATGCTTACAGAACGGTAGACCAGTAGCCTTCGCGTCACGTGCTCTCACAGACACAGAGACGCGATATGCCCAAATAGAAAAGGAGCTTCTGGCTGTTGTGTTTGCCTGCACAAAATTCAAAGACTATGTCTACGGAAAGCCCACAATCGTAGAAACCGACCACCAGCCTTTAGTGACCATCATGAAAAAGCCCATCCATGCCGCTCCTGCCCGTCTCCAGAGAATGTTGCTTCGCCTGCAAAGCTACGACATCAGCCTAGTCTACAAAAAGGGCAAGTACATGTATCTGGCAGACACCCTCTCAAGAGCTCCCAGCTCACAAGCACCACAGAGCCCCGTGGAAAACAGTGACTACGAAGTCATGAGCGTGAGCTACATTTCCTCAACACGCCTGGAGGAACTCCGTAGACACACAGCAGAGGATGAGGTGCTACAAACTCTTGCCACTATCATTCGACGCGGATGGCCCACCAGAGAAAGCCAGCTCCAGTCTGCCATCAGCCATTTTTTTCCATACAGAGATGAGCTGACAGTGGAGGATGGTATCATCATGAAAGGCCATAAATCCGTCATTCCCCGATCCCTGCGAAAGGAGTACATCAACATTGTACACAAAGGCCACCCAGGTATTGAGGCAACCAAGCGTAGAGCTAGAGGTGTAATCTTTTGGCCTACAATGTCAAAGAACATCACAGAAGAGTTGCTCTCATGTGCAGTATGCAATAGCACAAAGTCACATCAGCCGAAAGAGCCCCTCCAGCTCCACCCTGTTCCAGATCTGCCATGGTCCACAGTGGCCGCAGACATTCTTGAATGGCATGGCAAACATTATCAAGTTCTCGTGGATTCATATTCCGGCTGGTTTGAAGTCGACCTCCTTCGAGACTTAACCTCATCAGCCGTCATATCCAAATTAAAAAGACACTTTTCGGTACATGGTACACCTCACATACTCATCACTGACAATGCTAGACAATACACCAGCCAACAGTTCAAGGATTTTGCTGAACAATGGGATTTTACTCATACCACAAGCAGCCCAGAGTTTCCCCAGTCAAATGGACTCGCGGAAAGAGCTGTCCGCAGTGCCAAGCAACTCATGGAGAAATCACACAGGGACGGGTCCGATGTGTTTCTCAATATCCTGAACCTCAGAAACATTCCCCGTGACCCAACATTAGGCTCTCCGGCCGAGCGCCTCATGTCTCGCCAAACTCGTGCAGCAATTCCGGTGAGCACTAAACTGCTGGAGCCTACCACGAGGAATGTCAAGCAAGTCACCGATCAACTCCTCAACAAAAGGCGCACGCTGAAGCGCTACTATGACAAGTCGAGCCACCCACTACAGCCGCTGGCAGAGGGACAAGTGGTCCGCATGCAGACAGCGAAAGGCTACGACAAACTTGGAACGGTGAAGGAGATGAGTAGGGAACCACGGTCCTACATAGTTCAAGCAGATGGGAAGACTTATAGGAGAAATCGCCGCCACATACTCCCTGTGGTTGAGCCGCCACCACCGCAGCTCCTGGACGACCCAGACCCTCAGGACACCTGCCCCCCTACAGTGGACAGTTTTCCTTCACCACAAATGCCGACACCAAACACTGTGCAACCCCAACACCCACCCTCCCCCCAGCCCAAGCCAGCAGCGCACTCACCCATCGAGAGTCACGACACACAATACACCACACGTTCAGGTCGCATCTGCAGACCAAATCCCAAATACATGTAAAAAAAAAAAAAAAAAAAAAAAAAGTTCTTCCTGGTGTAATTTCATCCCAGCTATTCAGCGAGTTCAGTATTGTGACATTTCATGGACTTAAACACCCTTGGTGATTTAGTAGACTATGAAGAGGCCTAAATGTTAAAGTGCAATATGAGGTATTCATTTAACCTTATTTGTTTTAGTTATGTTGCAAAGACATGTTTACCAGTGTTGCCTTGTTTGATAGGGCTAAAGACTAAAAGGAAGGGATGTAGGCGTTTGGTTAAATGATTATGCAGTTTGTTTATTATGGGCCACCGTAGTGGGTTGTCTCAACCAGTCAGAATGCCCGGTGGTTTTGGTGCACTTCTATCTGGTCTGTATCGGATGCCAGTTATCGAATGTTTGGATTAAACGCAGTCATTTACATTCTGTGTTATCATTGACTCATACAAACAAATACAGACTTTCTACACTATGGATACACCGCGATTAAAATTCTGCCCAATACCGATAAATTACTTTTATATTATGGTAATTAAATGATAAACATTGGTAAATGCTAGTAAATTATACCGTATTATACATTGCCTAAAAAGAAAACACTAAAAACTCAATCATTTTAAAAGCCAGGAAGAATTCAGGCATCACTCAATTCTAATATACTGTGTGAAAAGGGAAATTGTTTCATTATGTTATTAGTTTTTCAACTATTTTCAGAATTTAATCAAATGTCATAACTTGATCTTCTCCAGTCATTTATTCTGTTTAAACTCTGTCCCTTTCTTACAATCAACTGCAAGCTTACATTCAGCTCTGCATCATTTTTGTGCGCAGCACTTTCATATATGTATATATATATTTTAGATCTGCATTTCTTTGAAACTTTAAACACTTTTAAAGTGAGCAAAGGCCATCAAAAGGAGATCTTTTGTCTCATACAATGAAAATTGTCCATTACTGAATGAACAAAAAACAAAAAAATATATTTTTCAAAACATCTTTTGTGTTCCTCAGCAGGTTTGGAGTGACGTGCGGGTGAGAAATGATGTCAATTGTCATTCGTAGGCAAACTTCTCCTTTAAAGGCGCAGTAAGCGATTTCAAATCAACCCAAACAAACACATTGCTCCGCCCCTAAACTGCACAAACACACAATTCAAGAGTGGATGTCTATCATTGTTGAAGTAAAATAATGCTTTGTGAAAAATAAAGCGAAGATGACCAACTACAGTAAACAATCAAGAGTTAGTTGTTAGTCTCCAGCAGCTCCAGACAAACAGTGACTCAAACGGTCCTGTTACTATAGCTCACATTACAACAACAGCATATCTTGGTTCTATGAATCACAGTAAAACCAATGTAACTCACATATGGAGAAGAAACAACCTAACCTTGGCGTCCGTTTTCAGGCCTTTCCCTCCAGCACTGGAAAGCTTTTCTAATGTTAACCCGGATCCTAAAGCTCTCGCCTGATTGTAGCCAGTGATATCCTCTGAGATTCTCTCTTTTGCAATGTCTCTCAGCCATCTCTCTTTCTACAGTATGTGGACACGCCCCCTACTGCTGATTGGCTCACTCTCTCTCCTACCCCATCATGAATGGACACGCCCCCTACTGCTGATTGGCTCACTCTCTCTCCTCCCCCATCATGAGTGGGCACCCCTCCTACTGCTGATTGGCTCACTCTCTCTCCTCCCCATCATGAGTGGACACGCCCCCTACTGCTGATTGGCTCACTCTCTCTCCTCCCCCATCATGAGTGGGCACCCCTCCTACTGCTAATTGGCTCACTCTCTCTCCTCCCCATCATGAGTGGACACGCCCCCTACTGCTGATTGGCTCACTCTCTCTCCTCCCCATCATGAGTGGGCACCCCTCCTACTGCTGATTGGCTCACTCTCTCTCCTCCCCATCATGAGTGGACACGCCCCCTACTGCTGATTGGCTCACTCTCTCTCCTCCCCCATCATGAGTGGGCACCCCTCCTACTGCTGATTGGCTCACTCTCTCTCCTCCCCATCATGAGTGGACACGCCCACTACTGCTGATTGGCTCACTCTCTCTCCTCCCCCATCATGAGTGGACACGCCCCCTACTGCTGATTGGCTCACTCTCTCTCCTCCCCCATCATGAGTGGACACGCCCCCTACTGCTGATTGGCTCACTCTCTCTCCTCCCCCATCATGAGTGGACACGCCCCCTACTGCTGATTGGCTCACTCTCTCTCCTCCCCCATCATGAGTGGACACGCCCCCTACTGCTGATTGGCTCACTCTCTCTCCTACCCCATCATGAGTGGACACGCCCCCTACTGCTGATTGGCTCACTCTCTCTCCTCCCCATCATGAGTGGACACGCCCCCTACTGCTAATTGGCTCACTCTCTCTCCTCCCCCATCATGAGTGGACACACCCCCTACTGCTGATTGGCTCACTCTCTCTCCTCCCCCATCATAAGTGGACACGCCCCCTACTGCTGATTGGCTCACTCTCTCTCCTCCCCCATCATAAGTGGACACACCCCCTACTGCTGATTTGCTCACTCTCTCCCCTCCCCATCATGAGTGGACACGCCCCTACTGCTGATTTGCTCACTCTCTCTCCTCCCCCATCATAAGTGGACACACCCCCTACTGCTGATTTGCTCACTCTCTCTCCTCCCCCATCATGAGTGGACACACCCCCTCCTGCTGATTGGCTCACTCTCTCTCCTCCCCCATCATGAGTGGACACACCCCCTACTGCTGATTGGCTCACTCTCTCTCCTCCCCCATCATGAGTGGACACACCCCCTACTGCTGATTGGCTCACTCTCTCTCCTCCCCCATCATAAGTGGACACACCCCCTACTGCTGATTGGCTCACTCTCTCTCCTCCCCCATCATAAGTGGACACACCCCCTACTGCTGATTTGCTCACTCTCTCTCCTCCCCCATCATGAGTGGACACACCCCCTACTGCTGATTGGCTCACTCTCTCTCCTCCCCCATCATGAGTGGACACACCCCCTACTGCTGATTGGCTCACTCTCTCTCCTCCCCCATCATGAGTGGACACACCCCCTACTGCTGATTGGCTCACTCTCTCTCCTCCCCCATCATAAGTGGACACGCCCCCTACTGCTGATTGGCTACAAGTGTGTTGTACAGCGTTTCTCAGAAATCGCTTACTGCACCTTTAAGTTGTATTTAACCCTTATCATTCTTATAAGGAACATGTCAAATGCACAAGCTACTAATAAAATGCTCCATATGTGATAATGTAAGGCAGACTCCATCTGGTCCGTGTTAAACATGACTGTATGAGCTCAGCGATGCAGTGAATGACTGCGGTAGATCTGGCACTCACCGAGTAGCTCTTCAGCCTAATGAAATCCACAGTCATTGGCACAGACTTATCACTGTTTTGATTCAGAGTCTTGATGTAATCCATCAGGTCTGCGAAGAACTTATACCCTCCTTTCAGAACGCAAAGAGCCACGATATGATGTCCGCCCATGTCCCGAACGATATCTCTGGCCAAGCGCTCAGTCCTGCAGAGAAGATCAAAACTGAAGGCTGGAGTATTCTGACATGAATGCTTTCATTAAAGCTGGCTGAAGCCATGCCAATAATGACAGTCAAGAGATTTCAGGGGAAATTTGTTAAACAAATGAATGGGAAAGGCAATTCAAATCACATGCCTCTGCTATTGCGCTAACATCATTAGCTAAATCTACGGGGGGACACAGGGCTCTTTTACTATCCAGGGTAATCACCGGCCACAACACAACTGACACTTCTCACACCACAACCATACAACTCAGTGTTAAAGACACACATGCACTGATCGCAGTACCTGTCCTTAATGAGGCCGTTGGGTATAATGACCCGGTCCAAATCCTCCTCGTAGTGTTTCGGCACACAGAAGAGGCTCAGCTCGTGGCCCTTGCTGTCATCGGATATCTGCAAGATCAAAACTCTATTATAACACATCATTTTATAACGCAGAGCCAATTCTGGTTCCACAACTAACCTTTCAGCGTGTGTGTGTGTGTGTGTGTGTGTGTGTGTGTGTGTGTGTGTGTGTGTGTGTGTGTGTGTGTGTGTGTGTGTGTGTGTGTGTGTGTGTGTGTGTGTGTGTGTGTGTGTGAAACACAAAAAGAAAGTTGCTAGACTGTCTTCTTCAGTGTGAGCTGAGCTTCACTATTAATAATAATGGACAATGGAGCTGATGTGACCATAACTCATACTAAGCAGAATCTCCACACACAGCTACTGTCGTGTCATCAGAAATTGTCTTCAGAAATGTGTTGATAATTCAGGCAGAATTACAATATAGCGCATCGGTCTTATAATATTAACTGGTCATTATCCATTGTGGAGCTTGACAGCGGTAGTCACCTCGGGTTTTCACTTTATTGAAAAGAGCAAACTTCCTTTTGTGTTCTACTGAAGACTTACGGGTGAGTAAATCATGGATGGTTTATATATTTGTAAAGTATTACTTTAAACCGATAATGGCGTGTAGTAGTGTAATCTGTGTCTTGTCAACACACCCGCTCGCGCGTAACCTGAAGACGATCATAGACGGATTTCGCGTTACACTCTATTTATGTAACGTTACATTGAGACTTTCATCACATAGACCTGATGAGAAATATGAATGATTTACTAGTTTGTGGACACACAGTGACGAACCACACCTCAAACGCGGAGTCTTGATCTGACGCGGGTCTCTAAAGGCGCGTTAAACGCAGCATCGCACGCTTTTGGCTCTTACCTCCAGAAATGCGGCCATGATCTGCGGTGTTCGTGCTTCAGCTCGCGGTCCTCGGGCTCATGCTGGAGTGTGTGTGTGTGTGTGTGTGTGCTGGATGAGCGCGTGTCTGCTGTACGTCGAGGCAACGCGACGCGTGCTAAACCCTGACGTCACAAATCCATTTACCCAATAATCTGCTTGACCCGCGGCAACCTGTGCTTTAACACCAGAGGAAGAGAGTCAGCGCGCGCGTGTGTGTGTGTGTGTCAGCAGCACTGAGTGAGTATGTGTTTACATCATCTTCATCATCATCATCAGTGCTTTCTGACGCGATGCTGATAAGGCGCGATGACGTCAGAGGGAGAGTGTGCAACAACTGATAGAGCTGTGTGTCAAACTAATGTAGCACAACCTCTTTATATCTGAAACACACACACACACACACGTCTGGTTCGCTATCTTTGTGGGGACTCTCCATAGATGTAATGGTTTTTATACAGTACAAACTGTATATTCTGTCCCCTTACACTAACCCTACCCATCACACACACACACACAAACCCGACCCCTAAACTTACCCATCACACACACACACACACTAACCTGACCTCTAAACCTACCCATCACACACACACACTAACCCGACCCCTAAACCTACCCATCACACACACACCCGACCCCTAAACCTACCCATCACACACACACACACACAAACCCGACCCCTAAACTTACCCATCACACACACACACACACTAACCTGACCTCTAAACCTACCCATCACACACACACACTAACCCGACCCCTAAACTTACCCATCACACACACACACACACACACACACACACACACACACACACACTAACCTGACCCCTAAACCTACCCATCACACACACACCCGACCCCTAAACCTACCCATCACACACACACACACACTAACCCGACCCCTAAACCTACCCATCACACACACACCCGACCCCTAAACCTACCCATCACACACAAACACACAAACCCGACCCCTAAACCTACCCATCACACACACACCCGACCCCTAAACCTACCCATCACACACAAACACACAAACCCGACCCCTAAACCTACCCATCACACACACTAACCTGACCTCTAAACCTACCCATCACACACACACACTAACCCGACCCCTAAACCTACCCATCACACACACACACTAACCCGACCCCTAAACCTACCCATCACACACACACACTAACCCGACCCCTAAACCTACCCATCACACACACACACACACTAACCCTACTCAACCCCTTAACCTACCCATCACACACACACACTAACCCGACCCCTAAACCTACCCATCACACACACACCCGACCCCTAAACCTACCCATCACACACAAACACACAAACCCGACCCCTAAACCTACCCATCACACACACTAACCTGACCTCTAAACCTACCCATCACACACACACACTAACCCGACCCCTAAACCTACCCATCACACACACACCCGACCCCTAAACCTACCCATCACACACACACACTAACCCGACCCCTAAACCTACCCATCACACACACACACACACACTAACCCTACTCAACCCCTTAACCTACCCATCACACACACACACTAACCCGACCCCTAAACCTACCCATCACACACACACACTAACCCAACCCCTAAACCTACCCATCACACACACACACACACACACACACACTAACCCTACTCAACCCCTAAACCTACCCATCACACACAAACACACAAACCCAACCCCTAAACCTACCCATCACACACACACACTAACCCGACCCCTAAACCTACCCATCACACACACACACACACTAACCCTACTCAACCCCTTAACCTACCCATCACACACACACACACACTAACCCGACCCCTAAACCTACCCATCACACACACACACACACTAACCCGACCCCTAAACCTACCCATCACACACACACACACACACACTAACCCGACCCCTAAACCTACCCATCACACACACACACACACACACACACACACACTAACCCGACCCCTAAACCTACCCATCACACACACACACACACTAACCCTACTCAACCCCTAAACCTACCCATCACACACACACACTAACCCGACCTATCGCACAAAACTTTATGCATTTTTGAATTTACAGATTTACAAATGAGGACGTCCCTAAAGGAAGGTTTTTGGGGATTTTGTCAGGTTTTGGTCACTTCTCGGTACAAATTTGTCCCCAAAATATAGTTATAAATATAGTCAAAATACATCTGTGATGTGAAACAGTTTATTCAGTTGCAATGGAATTTTTATGATCCCTCTTATTTTGTTAAAATTATTTACATATTTAAAAAAAATATACTAATGTATACTCACATTATATATATACACATACACAGCCAATTATGATCGCTTGGGAAACTAACTAAAAGCCTATGTATGACATTCACCTTTGTTCTTATGATTAATAAGGACTGTTTTTAATATGTTTTGTGTTGAATTGATGTAATAAAATATAATTGTTCAGGCCAATCATAAATTTCAACAATAAAACATAAATAACAATAACCTGAACAACTAGTGTGTGTGTGTGTGTGTGTGTGTGTGTGTGCGATCTGAATGTTTTATCAAAAACAGTCTAGACAGATAAAGCCTTCATCATCAAAAATGCCAACAATTTAAATTACATTGAAACATAAAACATAAATTTCATTAAAAATGTAACAATAAAAACGTGATTATTGTGATATATGTGACGTGGGAGGAGAACGTATGCGTGCGTCAGGTTTCCCGAGAGGAACGACTTCGGCATAGGAAACACCTGTGGATCCTCACTCACAACTCCTCGGGAGATCCCTCACGAAACTGACTTTAGACACACTCCTGAGGCAGCGCGACGATTTAATGATCCATAGCGAAACAGAGAGCTTTGGTGACAACAAACTCAATATTTCATTAGTACAATACTAACTTTTTGCTAGAAAAGTCATCAAGAGTGGGAAGAAAAAATTGGTCAAAATGTGCACTTTACACACAAACTGGCCACCAACCTGACACTTCAGACGGCATCTTTACTTTTCAGCTTTACTTCCACAGGCTGGAGCGAGGAAATGAGGAAACGAGGAACTGAGGAAACAAGGAAGTTAGGAAACGAGGAAATTAGGAAACGAGGAAATTAGGAAACGAGGAAATTAGGAAATAAGGAAATTAGGAAATAAGGAAATTAGGAAACGAGGAAGCGAGGAAACGAGGAAACAAGGAAGCGAGGAAACAAGGAAGCGAGGAAACGAGGAAGCGAGGAAATTAGGAAACGAGGAAATTAGGAAATTAGGAAACGAGGAAATTAGGAAATGAGGAAACGAGGAAGCGAGGAAATGAGGAAACAAGGAAGCGAGGAAACGAGGAAGCGAGGAAATTAGGAAACGACGAGGAAATTAGGAAACGAGGAACTGAGGAAACGAGGAAATTATGAAATTAGGAAATGAGGAAATGGGGAAACGAGGAAACAAGGAAACGACGAGGAAATTAGGAAATGAGGAAACAAGGAAATTATGAAATTAGGAAACGAGGAAATAAGGAAGCGAGGAAGCGAGGAACTGAGGAAGCGAGGAAAGAAGGAAACAAGAAAATTAGGAAACGAGGAAATGAGGAAACGAGGAGGAAACGAGGAAATTAGGAAATGAGGAGGAAATGAGGAAGCGAGGAAATTATGAAATTATGAAACGAGGAAATTAGGAAACGAGGAAATGAGGAAACGACGAGGAAATTAGGAAATGAGGAAACGTGTGATTATTGTGATATATGTGACGTGGGAGGAGAATGTATGGGAAATATGTGACGTGTGAGAATGTATGGGGAATATGTGTGATATATGTGACGTGGGAGGAGAATGTATGGCATGGGAAACGAGGAAACGAGGAAACGAGAAAATTAGGAAACGAGGAAATTAGGAAACGAGGAAATGGGGAAACGAGGAAATTAGGAAACGAGGAAACTAGGAAATGGGGAAACGAGGAAATGGGGAAACGAGGAAATTAGGAAACGAGGAAATTAGGAAACAAGGAAGTGAGGAAATTAGGAAATGAGGAAACGAGGAAATGAGAATCAAGAATACCCTTGGTGTGAGGGTATTCTTGAGGGTATTGTTGAAATGGCATCATCTGGTCAACTGGTTTTGGATATTGAAGACTGTGACCCCCTCAAAACAGCTTCCTAAGACCTCAAAACCTCAATTTCATCTGGAACTGTAAGCCAATGGCTGGTTATGGCTGGATTGAGAGCTTGTGAACCAGTAAAGAAGCCATTTATTAGCTTTATCTACTGAAAGAATGTGCCAAAGAGCGTAAGGATAGGGAAGATAAGATAAGATAAGATAAGGAAGATAAGTTCTGCAGTCCGACAACTCAACATGCACCAGTCTAGCATTGGATGGTGTCGGGTGTGTTCATACCAAACACATGCGTGGATCCAGTTCACACAGCATGGGAAACATCATGGGAAACATCATGGGATTGAGGACACTGGTGCTGGAAGGAGCTACAAAGTTGAAAATGGACCAATACGTGGGAATCCTGCTATTAATCCCAATGATGCTCATGCAACAAAGCTGCACACAATTGAAGTGTTCATGCTCAGCATTGAGAAGTCTCAGTCTCCATTGAGAACCTTTGGGGAATTATAAAGCTGTGTTTAGTCATGCAGGGCTTCCAATGAAGCTCAACTTCGGGAGGGTTGGGAAGAAGTTAACTTTAGTGAGTCGATGCCCAGGAGAATGGATCAACAAAAACAAGGGAGAGCCAACTAAATATTAATAACTGATTACATTGTAGTCAACATATGCTTTATTTCCAGTGGGCTTTTTTCCCCTATGCCTTTGCATAATACAATAAAACAGGAAAATGCTGGAAAAATTGCCTTTCTTGACAAATAATTTTGTCATTTTATTACCGTAACCAATTTTAGTGTATATTCATCTTCCCAATGTGACATACTCCTCATATTTTGGATTGTTTAATAGAACCTGAAGTGTAATTAAAAGTACATATAGTGAAAAAATGTGTGTGTGTCAGAATTATGTAAAAATTTTACACCTACAGCAAAACATACAAGACACAAGGGAAAGAACTTCATATCTATCTTTATTCATATAGCAGCACATCTTACAGAAATATAACTGCAGGAGTATACAAATGTACTGATTAAAGCAAAGACAAAAAAACATCAGATGTCATTAGTTCATGTTTCTTCATGATACTGAACGTCATTCGTACACACTCATGAATGAACGGTTGAATCCCTATAAACAGTGGTTCTGAACCAGGAGGCCAGTAGGGGGCGCCGGCCGATTTTCAGAGGGCTTATTTTAAAATAAGTTATAATTAATGTCATTTAAATGTGGAAATAGCTCTTGAACACCAAACCACAATGTGGAAATTTGGTCCAAGCTAACTGTGGAACTGACCAATTCAAGATGAATCCCATTAACAACTGTTGTTGGTACACACAACTCTTGAAATCCCCAAATTAAGCAGAATTATTGATTTGAACCCATCAACACTCCTAGTGTAAGGGAGGGGGTTGAGAACCACTGTCCTGTTACAGCTTTAAAAGCAGTGGACGTTAATCACATCAAACAGAAGCAAACCAATTAAAAACTGTGTAGAAAGAGTGCATTTAAAATGTGCCCCTGACACACACACACACACACACACAACAGCTGGTGACTGGGGTAAGCGCTCTTCAAACCTCTTTTAATTTAACATTTACTAACAGAAATTCTTCACAAACCCACTGCCCGAACAAACAGAAAACCTGTAATCATTGAGATCAACAACAATCTTTAAACCTTGATCTTACAAATGTCAAGAGGCAAGAACCACCAGTGGATGAGAATGTCAATGTTTTAAATAAAATTTAAATAAAAGTGAGTTGAGGCTGCATAGCAGTTTCATGATATAAATGTTCAGATGTATTTGAGACTACACGTACAGACTGGTTAAAGACGATTTGACCAGACATAATGTCAATTAAAAACCAAAACCAAACCGTAGTCTTTTACTTGTGGATTAAGAACTAGTAATCACTACATCGAAGTATTTCATTATATACAAAGGTCCTTTAGAAGTACGAGGAAAGGCTTGCAAAGGCACAAAGTACTTTCAATCAAAAAGCACAATATGATGGAAAGTAAAAATGGAAATCAACCTCTTAAAATGTGAATGATGGATTTGTGCAGAAATATGATTTTGACATAAGCTGGAGCATCAGTACCCAAAAAAAGAACAAGAATGGACAAATGATTACTTTAAATCTTTAAATCAAAAGACATTGATTTTGCTGCCTTGTTTTGAGAAAATATTCTTCTGAATTGGTCCTTAGGTTAGATGTAGAGTGAATCTATATGTCCTACACCATGAGGTAAAACACACACATTCTTCCAGTCCCAGTTGTCTTGTTTTATGGCTTCGCGTGGAACCCGAGTTCCAGAACATTAGCCTAAATATCGAACAAACAAACATCCAGCTCATATTTCACCCCAAAATCAAAACTCTATTTTCATAACTTAGAAAAAACAACACCACAATACTGTAACAGCAATGAAAATCAGCATAACTTCGAGTCAGTACAACGAATATTAAATTTATTGTACTTTACGATTTAAATTAATCATTTTTTTTCATATTACAATAAGATGTGCTCCACTATCAGCTGTTTTCCGGTTTTGTTTTTTGATTTTGGGGAGGAATATGACAAAATTACTACATACTGTGTGAGATTCACCCACAACCAAAACCAGCCTCTTTTTTAATAGTTTAGAAATTGACAATATTTGAATTTCACTTACCAAACAAATAACAATCTCCATTTTGTAACAAAACCCATCATTTTCACCGCTCTGAATATTGACATATGAAGTACAGTACTGCAGAAGGGACAATTCACTTTTACATGTTTAAAATGTACACAGTACATTTGGAAATTCAGTCTTACAAAAATACTGTATGTACGCCTCACCTGCAGGTGAGATATTATGTTTCACTACAAAGAGAGCACGCTTTTAACAAACTGCTACCTCACAAAGGAACAGCACACGTGAATCAGCCGATCTACTATTTACAATTTGTTATGCAAATTTTACATAAAGCATTTTTTTTTTAAAGAAAAGAATTTAAAGACAAGAAAAGGTATGACGTAAAAATAACTGACGCATCAAAGCAAAGGTGTTTATGAAGATTTTACATAGAACTGACTCACATTATGTTTGCATGAGAAAATATTGTCAATGCAAAAGCTGCATCTTAGAATAGAGCACGTCGAAAATATGTCAAGTCTTAAAAAAGCTTTTAAAAAGACTGCATGTGTCTATGCACAAGTAAAATGTCAAATAAATGTGATTTAATCAAATATTCTGAGCAATGATCTCCTGGGTAAGGGTGTGACAGGGAAACTACAATGCTCCAAAATGTAATTATAGCACAAATAATTAACAGCTCAAACCATTTAAAAACTGAACAAGCCATTCGGATCAGTCATGACAAAATGTAGCAGCATTCTGTCTATATTAAACCCTGCACGAGAGTGCCTAAACCAGCGCACACTAGAGAAATCTTCCAGTTCACATCAAATAAGGATTTCTGAGCGGTATGAGCCTTCGTTTTTAAAACTTGTATGACGAGATTGTCGTGCAGTGACGGTGTGAGGCAATCTCTTCCTCAGAGCTTGCTTTAAATCTCGCGGTTTTCTCTGATTTTCACTGGGCCTTGACTCTATCTGATCATAGATGGGGTTTGTTGTAACTTGAATGCAAACCAATTCCTTCTTAAACCCTCATGGGAAATATGGACCTAACTACCATTTTAAGCTGCCCAAAAACACTCATAGCTGTGATAGTTCACATCAGCAATAAATATCCTGTCTTTATTTCTCACACTCGTGTCTTTCAAAATATGTATGATCTTCATTCTTCTGTGGAAGTGCTTTACTAAAGCTGTCAAACTCAGAGCATAAGCGAACAAAATCCTTTAGATGATCCTTGGTATAAACTCTTAAATCTCATTAAAGCAAAATATCTTGAGTTTATGTTTTGTTTTTTGAGGACCACAGATGAGAGAAGGTCATGCGCGTTTGGAACGACATGGTGAACCACCACAACAAACCCTCTTCCAAGCTTGTGCTTATTTGAATAATCTCCATGACCCACATATAACTCAAAATCAAGAACACAGCTGCATCTTATATAGTACAAACAGCAACATGTCTTTCTGTTAAACGCACACACACACACAAACACATCGTAGACCCTCGGCTGAATGATAATACAATCAGTTCACATATCTCAATGGCAATGTTGCACATTTTCACATCCCTGATAGGAATTCATGTCTACAAGTTGGACCTCTTGTTCATTTAAATAAAATAAAATAAAATAAAACTAAAACAGAGGAAAAGAGTAGGAGTGATTGAGCATCTTCACTTTAAATGTCATGAGAAAACGGAGAGATTAGGTGGACATGTCAAACATTCAAACACAAAAAAAACATTAAACATGGCTCATAAAATAGGCTATATTCAGAAAAGAGTCACTGAAGAGTAATGAAACACAAACACATTTTTTTAGAAAAGCATTATGACTATCAAAACATGAAAAGCTTTGACAGCCAAGTAGACACGTATGGGTTACAAAGCTAAAAGGGAGAATCTCCGGTTACGGTAGAAACCCCCTAAAGTGCTAAATATATTTCAAATTCATTCACAATGTATTAGTATCTCAACGGCAACAGAGAGTTTTTGATTTAATATTGTACTAGGTTGGTTTCTACTAAAAACAGGTTAACAGTGGCAATAAATGGAGAAGATTCAACTGGAAGTCAAGAACACAATACAAAGTAGCAAAGTGCCAATATACTTAATGGCTTAATGGGTCACATGATATGCTGACATGCCAAACAGTGGCCTCAATAAAGTGGACCCTTATATGTCCATCAAGAAAAGGAGCCGTGGCGAGATCCATAGCTAACATGTCCCGCCAAAACAACACATTACAAGCTTTCAGAAACATAGATATAAGTGAAGACCCCCAACTGAGACGACCCTTAGATAAGCTTAGATAATACCGACATAAGACGCAAGATGTAAAGGAACGCGACAAGCAGTGAGGACGGTGGTCTACTGAAGTGAGGTTTCGAACTACTCATCTTTAATGGTCCAAGAAATCCCTAGGAAGCGTCTTTCCCTGCTCCTGAAAACGTTCCAGAAGTTCGTCTATCTTCTCGTCAATGTTGTTGGACGGGTCCAGTAAGGTCTGAATCTGCGCATTATTCTGAAGCTGGGTCTGATTCTGATCCGAACCAGGATGACCCATGGTGACGAGCTGATCTGACAACGCCGGACCAGGAGAGTTTATTAGCTGTCCACACTCTAATAAAACACAGAAAGATTAGGCTTTGTGAGGCCGTGAAAGGCACATTCTGCAATAAAGCCAATTTAGAAAGTTAATGCAACATCTGAAGGTGTACACATTGATTTATTTTATCATGAATGTAGGACAGACTTGGTTTTAACCATCTGGAATTCACTGGGTCATTAAATGCTGTCATTCCACAGTGGACGACTACTCCAATACCAGAACCCACTTTTCAATAGGGACTAGGTCAGGGGTGTCTAGTCCTGCTCCTGGAGGTCCACTGTCCTGCAGAGTTTAGATCCAAACCCCAAAGCAACACAGCTAAACCAGCTAATCAAGGTCTCACTATAAAGGTCATACTAGAAACTTCCAGGCAGGTGTGTTGAGGCAAGGATCAGGTTTTGACACCCCTGGGGGCCGGTTGCACCAGCTGGACGTACACCCGGTCGTTAGACTAAGCTTAACGGAAAATGCGCTTTAAGTCCTGTGTAGAATTAATACCTGTTGCGCCATCTGGGAGTAGTGCACGTCTGAGACTAAATCTTACGCCTATTCAAAGGTAGGTATAAAGTGAGAAGTCTTTACTTGTTTCCATGGTGAAAATAAAGATAAATAAAAACGTTGAGACAATGGCGCGTCTGGTATACAGGCTACACGATCAGCGGGCTTTCCGGCGTGAAAGAGAAACAGCACCAATCCCTTAGATATATATGGAGACAGAACTTATTGAACGTTTTCGTTTCGGCAGGGTTGAATTGTTAGAATTAATCAATGAGTTATCACCGCAGTTACAACAAGATTTCCTAGTCCACCCTCAGCTTCATTTACTGCCGCTGTTATCTTTTGCCAGATGTCTAGTTTTGTTTTATTTTTGTTACTGAATTGTTTTGCTTGCATACCAAAATATGCATATACTTACTGAATTGCTCAATAATTTTTCTTGTTTCACAATCTGAGTAATTCAATTTTCTTTTTTTCGGCTCAGCAGTCATTTTTCATCTATTCGTTAGAGTAAATTCAAATTTGTAACCATAGTAATGCGAACGGCATCTCAACTATCAGTACGGTAGAACATGTCAGGGTGTACGCGCATCGGCTACGCTAAGTGTAGCTGCGCCTAGTCGTAGTTTTAGATGGTGCAACAGGTGTAAATATTCATCGGAAAGCTGGACATAACTAAGTCCAGCGTAGAGCTTACACCCAACTTTTTTACGTCCAGCTGGTGCAACCGGCCCCTGGACTGGGTCAAGGACAGAATGATCTTTTAGAACATCTCAACATGACGCAATGGTATTTATATTCTGCAGTCATTTGCTAAGATTTTAACTCTGATTTATGGTTGACTTAATAGCACTGGCCATTGGGAATCTCAAAAAAACTTCTGAAGAGGGTTTTTGACCCGTCACAACTGCATTTCTCCCTCATCTAACACACCTAATTCAACTCACCAGCTCACTTAATAGAGACTGCAAGACTTAAATTAGGTGTGTGCAATGAGGGAGACGTGCAAAATGTGCAGTGATGGGGTGTCCCCAGGACAGGGAAGGACTGCTCCAAAGCATGTCCCAATAGTACCCCGTTTTCCCCCTCAAATCTATTGTTATTTGCTATGACTGCAACTCTAATTGCATGTTGACTTATTTGCACTTACCACTGGGAATCTCAAAGAGAAAAAGGCCTGCTTGTCCTGGCTGTCCAGGCTGGCTGAGAGTCCCCCCAATAGCGGTCTGAAAGAGTTGGCTGGGCGGTTGCTGAGGGGTGGTGGGAGTGGAGTTCTGTAGGCCGCTCACTGCCACACCACTCTGTCCACTGAATATAGTGGCCGCTGCCGCAGTCGGAGGCAAGTCCTGAGAACTTACACCACCTTGCAGGGCTAAAATTGCTGACTGAGGCAAAAAATTGTTGACAGAAGGTTGGTCTGTAGGAGAGACAGGGGTTACGCTGGTGGCACTGGGGACAACCTGCATAGGTTGCTGATCCTGAAAAAGTTCTGTCCGTGTTGAAGGCATACTGGCAGACGAGTCACTCACAATGGTGCTCTGGTCTTGAAAAGACATGGGCTCTGCCGAGTCTTGTTGGGCAACATTCACAACACTGGCTTGCGGAAAAATAATGGATGGATTCTGATTTGACTGGGCTGGCGGAACGGTAGGTTGGTTTGAAGGGTTGTTCGCAGTAACGTTTTCAGAGCTGGGAACAACTTGCATGGGTTGCTGCTCCTGAAAGATATTTTCTGGGAGGCGGTCACTTCCTAGTGAAGCTTGGTTCTGGCCACTGAATAACAGAGCCTGGGGCAGATCATGGGGATTAATGGTTGTGGTACAGAACAATATGCCTGTCTGTGTTTGTTGCTGATTTGGAGATATTGTGGCAATATTTGGGAAAAGGGGGGCTTGTTGGGGTGTTGCCATCTGTTGTTGTTGGGGAGCCTGTTGTTCCATTGGGGTGGACAACTGTGTTTGTCCCTGAAAAAGTGACACAGTCTGGGCGTCTGTTCCAGAGGTCTGCATTGGTGTGAGGAAAGTTATCTGTTGCTGCTGCTGCTGGTTCTGGTTATTATCCGATGGCAGCTGGCTAGGCAACACACTTTGCGTAATAAACAGGCTAGTTGAAGGAGCCTGCTGTTCTGTGGGTAGATTGGTGCTTGTTAGCATTGTCATGGTACCAGGAAATAAGGCTGCTTGAACCTGTGGTGACTTTGTGGATCCAAAGAGTACTGCCTGCGAGTCTTGTGTCTCAGTCAAGGGGTTATGACTCTGAAAGAGCGGCTGAGGGGGGGAAGGTTGAGAGGATGGCTGCTGCAGAAAGCTAGATGTCTGAATGGTCATAAGACCTCCAGTCTGTTGGAAAAGTGCAGTCTGCTGCTGTAACTGCTGCTGGGGTGGGTTCTGGAGGAAGCCTTCTGAGGGCTGCGATAGAGTATTCGTCTGTGAGGAGCTCTGCTGTTCGCTGGTGAAGCTCGGTGTGCACTGCATTGGAATCTGTGTCTGCAAGAGCTCTGACTGCAAATGTTGCTTTAGGTTCTCTAAAACTTCCTGATGCTGAAGAGTTTCTAAATTTATCTGATGCTGTTGCTGCTGTTGAAGATTATCAATTACTTTTTGATGCTGCAGAGTCACTATTGAACTTTGTTGCTGAATGTTCTCGAGAACTTTCTGGTGCTGTTGTTGATGCTGTAGATTCTCCAAAACTTTGTGTGTTTGCTGCTGCTGCTGCTGAATGTTGCCAAGAGCCTGTTGCTGGAGGTTTTCCAAGACTTTCTGATGTTGCTGTAAATTTTCAAGGACTGTTTGTTGATGTTGTAAATCCACAAGTGCCTTCTGTTGCTGTTGATGTAGATTCTCCAATATATTCTGCTCTTGCTGCTGCTGTTGCTGGTTGGTTAGAGATGTCTCATTTCCACCCAACCTTAAACTGTTCATGTTTTCCTGGACGTGTTGCTGAAGGCTCTCCGCAGACGGCGCTGGGCTATAAAGTACAGAGTTTAGCTGCTGTTGTGCTTGCAGCTCTCTTACTGCTCTCTCTAGCTGTGCAACCCCATCCTGGGGTAAATGCGCCTGAACCTGTGGCTGCTGGGATGGAGGATTACGAGAGTCTATGCCCACCAATACCATTCCACTTCCATCTGCACTGTTGTCTTCCGGAGACAAAGTTTCTGGGGTTTCCCGCAAGAACTGCTGAGGGACCTGAGGGGGAACCGGCTGGAGAACCGTTGTGTCTTCTGACAAGGACACTTGGAACGATGCAGGGGAAGGAATGTCCTGCTTCTGTATGGTGGACAAGGTTTCTTGAGTCGTAAATATTTGAGCCGATGACTGTGGTGAGTCGACGGTTTGGAGAGCCACAGGGCTTGGAAAAGACTTAGTGGCAGAGGGAAGGACAGTACTTATCTCCAAGATTTGTTGGGTTGAACTAAGGGCCTCTACAGGCTGCATTGCGAAAATAAGAAAAGAATCTGTTAATTTTCATGCCCCATTCATAAAAACACTTAATCTAAAGGATTCCAAGGTTAAAACTGGAAAATTAACTCAAAAGGGATGTGCTTTAAAAATGATAGTACCTTAAAGATGTCTGAAGGTGTTGCGTTGCAGGAGACATCCATAGGTTCTTCTCGTTTGACCATAGGTAACAATAAGACATTGTTTAGACAACTGGTCTCTGTTTGCATTGCTGTAAACAAAGTTATGAAACATTTGAGCTCAAACTTTAAAGCTGTTCGACAGCAAAGCATGAAAATATTTTTGATAATACCACACCTTTTATCTGCTCTTCAAAAGTACAAGCCTTGACTGTGGCTGGCAGTTCTGACTTCACTGGTATTTCAACTTTCTCTGTATGAAAAGAGTTAAAATAATGAATGATGACATCATCTACTAGTGCGGAAGTGCAATCTTATACTTTGTCCCATTAGGGGGTGTCACCAAAACAAAATTTCACTAGGTAAATTGAAGATACTTGATAGCAATATTCACAAAAACAAAAGCATGTAATCTTTAGCCAAAGATACTAAGACATTGTTTTTGATGTTTTTCTTTTCAACTGGCAGCTGCAGCACTACTATTCATCCTGCCTTTCTGTTGCCTGCTCTGTCAGATAGCATTCAGGAGCAAATGTACCAATACTATAAAATTGGACACTCCAGGAGAGTTACAAAGCACTATCAGCATGACCAAATTAATATTCATGAGCGAAGTCTCAACTATACAAAGATTCACAATTCCACACCTGTTTTAATAAAGTAACTTAGCTTGAATATACTTTACCCAACTTACCCAAGACAGACATGCATGGCTCACCATCCTTTGTTGGTCCTGCAAAACATTCCTTTCAAACCATCACAGGCCAAACAGTATCCTTAACCCCACCCCTAAAATAAGACCCAAATGATTGGTTGTTTAAGCCCCTAACCACATCCATTTAAGACAAATTTTTATTGTAGAGTACTGTATGTCTGGGACTTTACAAATAAGAAAATGACACCCCTTGCTTACAGTCAACACATCCTTACAATTTTTCTATTTAACTTCTGAGCTGGATACCTGTTAATATTGTAAAAAATATCCTCTCGTCACCAACCTGTAAGAGGAGTGTAGGTAAAAGGCTGTAGATCATGCGTTCTCCCTGCGTTTGTCACTACGGCAATCCCAACAGAGACTGGGGCGGCCACTGTCTGGTCAAGATATGGGGGAACCTTCACCACTAGATGATTCTGGGTCGAATAATGTTGAGAAGATGCTTTAGACAAGATATTTTTGAATGATAAGCATTTTTACTAGAACTAAAAACTGTAATGACATGTCTTCCACTTGCCTGATGGAAAAGTTCCATGTCAATTTCTGCTTCAGCTTGCCAGCCACTCTCATCTGAGAAGAAAAATTAAAACAGGAAGGAAAAAGATGTACTTTGGTGCAAAACATTCCACATACGTTGGACAGATAACTGTTCCTAATACTATGCAAGCTAAATTTCATGTGTCATTGCATTCTGAAAGGTGACAGAGCAACAAAAGTATGCAATGCTATCCATCATTGCCATGTTGGCCATTATGCTAATACCCAGTATAAAGTTGTTTTTAAGCATGTTTTTATGGTATAAGATGTCCATGTATGCCGTACCTGTAGAATTTTCCTGAAAAAGAACTTTGGTTCCTTTGAGAAAGTTCTTGCCGATGATAAAGACCTCGTCTCCTCCTGCGACAGAACAACTGTGAAGACTCTTCTTAAGGATTTCTGGCACTCCAGCAGGTTGAGCTGAAAATGTGAGACAAAGAATATAGTTACAACCACTGACAGATTTGGAAAATAAAATCCCATAATATCAAATCTATACCCCGCTACCCTTTGCACTTACTGCATAAGATAGGAGAGGAGAGAGTCTGAAGGGTTAGGACAGATCCGTCAGGTCTTGGGATGTTGACTCTGAAGGCCAAACGAGCTCGAGTGCTCTTCTTTTTGGAGCCAGCAACCCCTATACGAGCTTCAACATCGGCATTCCTCAGCTTCAAGATTCCCACACAGTCCACGCTGCCAACACACATCACATTACACTTTAACAACAACAAAACACATTAACTGAAAGTGATTAGACAACAGTCGGAATGATCCTTACGGTAGGGTCATAGAGCTGGTCGGCTCAAGGTTCACTTCAATAACTGTGGTCCCCTCGATATCCACTTCCTTGCATGCCGTTGTGTTGCGCCCCGTCACTCTGCAGGCTTGATAAAACCCATGAGGCTTCACACGCCCAGCGTCATTAGCCACAAATACTTGGAGCACCACTGGTTCACTGACTCCCTCTAACTGATGTACCACATATAGAAACATTACCATATAAACTGTATTACTTCCATTAATGCATATTTGTCCGGATAATATAATGTTTTTTCAATTCTTACTTTGATTGTAGGGAATCCTTGCTGGGTACGGTCTTTGACGGATCCTCTGCTTCCCTCTGTGAGGTATCGTGCTCTATGCTGTGTCTCTGGCTGAATCAAAATCTTCAGCTCCTTCCCTTCGCTCTTCTGCGGGTACTGAATGGAAAGAATCCCCCCTTTCTGATTGTTTGACACTTCCAGGGAGCTAAAGGTATAGTGAAAGAAAGCAATTCAAACATCTTCTATGACGTTTTTAAAATTCATGTTGAGGCGCAAATGGGGCTGCCCGATTAATCGCAATGAAACCGCACGCGATTTGGCAAAGGCTGTGAGTATGTGCAGCTTGTCAGTGCAGCGGCTGATCGGTAGTAAATGCTGCTCCATCTGAACGCCAGTCTCACACACACCACATATACCTCTGAACACCAGAGGGCGTCTCACACACACACACACGCCAAATATGCCCCGCCACAGAAGTACGGTAACACACATCATTCCAGGAAATCACTATGGGCATCATCGGTGTAGCTGAATAAACAGAAAATTGAAACGGTTTGATTGATTAAAAATGACTAATAAACACACGACTGCCTTATTCTGTTTCAGAAGCACATCATCTCACAGAAGAACGAGCTCAACTGTCCTTATGAAGTGAGTTTGGAGTGAAAGCATGTTATTAAATGTTGTCTTTTGTTAGACAAGAGGTTTTTGTTAGAAAGAGTGCTTTCAGATGGAGCAGCGTTTGAGAGCCGATCATCAATGACAAGCTCCGCATGAAAAAATAATCACGATAAGCCAAAACGGTTTAAGTGTGATTTCATGTAAATTGCGATTAATCCTGCAGCCCTATTGATATTGCATTTTTTTGTGGCGCAAACTTAGAAAATGTAAGGAAACCAACCTCACTTTGGGTGTGACTTTGGTGTCTGAACCCAGTTGTGAAAGAACAAAGTGTGGCGCTTTGGCGCTGTCTGCATCAAACACATCCATGCCGGCCTCCTCGCGGGCCGCGGGTTTCGGCCCCGGCCGCTGCCGAGGAGTCCTCTTTCGAGACTTCCTGGGCACTTCAGTGTTGTCGTTGTATGAACTGCTGCTGCCCATGCTAAAGTTGGACACCGAGTCGTCCATCCACATGCTGCCGCTCTGCTCCGAGTCCGGGTTGGGGAGCAGATCATCCTGGCAGGACATCCGGCTGTCGTCGAGCAGATCCTCGGGAGGCGGGGAGATGCTCAGGACGGTCCGGCGCTTCGAGGGGGTCGCCTGGCTCTCGCCCGCAGCTGAACCGGGCTCCACACACACTCTCTCGGGCACCCCCTCGGGGGCGGGCCCGAGCCTGGGCGCCTGCTCCTGGGCGGAGGTAGCAGAGAGCATGCTGGGACAGGAAGGAAGGGTGCTGAGTCCTCCAGGGGAGGAGGCAGCGGTGCATGTGGCGGCAGCATCTGTAGTGTGCACAATGCAGAACGGTTAAAAACCGGTCCCTTTAAATCTGGCTAGCAGTCCCGATCAAGCAGTGAAACTCGACATGGTATCTGGTCAATGCCCTTTATCTGTTTTGAATGTCTTGGTATTAAATTGCTAATTAAAGTAAGCCTAATTAAGCTTATGCATTGTCCAATACCTTATTTCTTTCATGTTATTTTGTATGATGGCCCAATAACTGAATCCTACCATAAAAAAGCAAAAAATAAACATGCATAAGGGGTATACAGAGCATCTGTTGTCACTTCTGCATAACCCAGTGCTGATCTATTCAAGCCTTTCACAGACAAATTCTAATGGCCAATGATAACTCTGAGTATTGCATGCCGATTGGACGAACTGGTACTGGTTGATGATAACCCAGAGCTGATCTATTCAAAACAGCCTCTCATAGACACATAATATTGGACAATGAAAATTCTGAGGTGTTGACTAATGCATGCCAATTGGACAATTTGGTTGGGACTGAGCGTAGCCATGGAGACAGAATAAACAAGCTTCTGACCTACGAAGCAGAGAACTGCAGACCATTTTATATGCAGACTCTCCCTGATTCAGAGGGAACTCCCTGGAATAAAAACGACAAATGACAGCGAATAAACAATAAGTGCTGGTCATCCAATGTAGATATCTGCAAATTTTGGTCAGAATCATGAGCAAAAAAAATCATCATTTTCATAAAAACATCTGTTTTTATAAATTATTGGGCCAGTTTTGGTACAGATATATAAAAATAAAAAATAGTTTGGTAGTTTGGTACTGGATTTGGTTGAGCTCAAATTTATTGATGCATAAACTGATATTTGTCTGAGCTGCTTTGCTTAAAGATCCTCAGCTTTCTGTCAAAACAGGAGGTAGTGTAACATTAACCTGGCTACTTACTGGCAAACATATTCGCATTCACAGTATGGCCTTTTAATTAGAACTGGGCAATATATTTGGTATTATTTTGTTGATGAAGCAAAGTTGTGAATATCAAAATGATTTTAAACACATCAAACAATAAATAAAAAAAACAGAAATATGATTAATTTCTACAAATGTATTAAATTAACCTAAAGTATAATCGCTCTAGAAGGTTTACAGACATCCTTGTGTGGCATTGGATTTGTCATGTGCCAAATGATTTACTGTACAGGGGACCTATTATTATTATGTCCCTTTTTATGTAATATAAGTCTCAGGTGTCCCCCAAAACGTGGGTCAAGTTTCAGCTCAAAATACCCCACAGGTCATTTATTATACCATGTCCAAAATTCCCGTTTGGATGAAAGCAAAAACATGTTGTTTTCGTGTATCTTTAAATGCAAATGAGCTGCTGCTCCCCGCCCCCATTTCCAGAAGTGGGCGGAGCCTTTACAGCTCGTGCTTCAGATCGTCGGGCAGCAACAAATCAGACGAAACACATTAGGTAATTTCCGCAGAACGCGTTTTTGCCTTCCACTGCGCTGCTTTTTCATTATTTTCTAAATAAATATGTTTCACCCGGACTATTAAATACTGTATTAAGCATTATGCTGTTAATAGGTATTGTTATTAGACATGTGCCAGTATCCGGTAATGCGATAAATCACGGTAATGAATATGCACGATATTGTTATCGCGGGCACTTCAAAATACCGTGAAAAATAATAGATTCTAATTTAGTCTTTTAGAACGCGCATTAGCTTATTTTCCATCAACCGCTTAAACACTGGGTATATGCTGCGCAAAACACGTGCGCACTCTGATGTAAACAATCCCCATGTATAAGCACTGTGTGCATGTGGTGAAGTGTACACTCTAGTCTAATGTAAACAATCCTCACATGGATTAGAAGCATGGCGGAAGGAGGAACGCTGCCGACGGCAGGCCTGCCAACTCTCACGCATTCAGCTTGAGACTCAAGCGCCTTTCAGACAGGACGCGGAACACGCGCGAGTATTTTGCTAAATATGTGCACTATATTACATATTTATTATATGTTTACTTGTCATTACTTAATTGTTATTATAATGAAAACCTTATTGTATTTAATTTCTCTCTGTATGTTTACAGCATTATGTGAGATATATTTTTTTTCTTGAGAAAAATTAACATGCAGACTGTAGCCTACCTAATATTTATCCAAATGAGTCAATATTGAATTAAGATTGAAATCAAATCCAAGAATGTAATTGAATAATACAAACAGTAGCCTACCAGTCACTGTACCATGTAAACATTGTAACATGTTGTCACTAAACTTAATAAAATTGTTTAGTTACCATATGTTTTGAAAAATCACAATTACACATTGTGATGAAAGTTTTTTTTTTTTGATACCCACAATCCATCTGTTTCTCTTGAGCAATTAAAATATCGTGATAATACCGTATACCGTGATAAAAGCTCAATCAATTAACCGCAGCATGAAAATTTGATACCGGCACATGCCTAATTGTTATATTGGTGCATCAAATTATTTTTATATTTGTGCATTTCATTTTTTTTTATTTACTTGACAACAATTAGGCCATGAGACGGGACCCCAAATTTGGGCTTCCGGTACCATTTTGAGGGATTAAATTTCTTTTTGATTTTCATGAAGGTACACATCTCTAGTGTTGGAAAATGTGTGATAGCATCCGATCCATGGTAGCTTTCATTAGAAATCAACACTTATATCATCCTACCTCAAGGTAAGGTGTTCAGTGACTACAAGAGAGAAAAATGTAATTTATAATTTAAAATAAGAAATTTCATTTATCCTTTTTCTTGACATATGTTTGAAAATCGTCCTCCGTAAACAAAAACTACCTTGAATCTAATGCTATCACACATTTTTCAAATACAGGGTCATATACCGACACAAAAATCACCATGCGGTTTAATCCCTCAAAATGGTACCAATCAACCCTCTGTCTCAAGGCCTAAATGGCTGTTGAAAAAACCTAAAAGATTTTTCCGGAGCAAATAAATACATACATACACAAGACTGTATGAATAGTAGGCCTGTAGCGGCGCGTCGATGACGTCGACGCTTCGACGTCAAAAATTCGTCGACGTCATATTTTTTTGTCGACGCTTCTTTATTTATTTATGTATTTATTTTTTTGCACCGTTCCCGGCGGTACAGCTCGCCACACACACGTGGGAGACCGAAACATTGCAGAATCGAGGACGAAACAGCAACCTCTTCACAGAATTCACAACAAAGCCATGCAAAAGTCCCAACAAAAGAAAAAGTCCTAAAAAAAACCAGCTCGCACTAAATCATCGAAGGTATGGGAATACTTCAAATTTAGTCCCAAACGTAAAGGTGTCGTTATTTGCGCTCTTTGTCAAATGGAGTTGACATCCCAAGTCTCCCGCATAGTGATAGCGGCTCCCTGATGACCGCAAATTAGTTAAAATCTCCCGGAATCTAGAGCTCGCGAGCTCCAAACCGTGTAGCGCGCGCAGCGAGGGAGAGAGCGAGAGACCTTGCGCGTGTGTGTGCAAATGTGCGTGTGTGCCTTATGAAGCGCATGTAAACCCCACCCCCGTCAACAAAACCGAAAAATCAGTCCGGATGTTTTTTATGAGCACTGAAAACATTAAAATGAGCACCACATCCAAGTGTGATAGGGCTCATTTGAGTAGCCTACCAAACATTTTACAGTGTAGATACTCTGTAAGAACCAGATCAAAATTGTTGTGCATTGAATGTGCACTCCTGCAATTTCCATGTTACAAAAAAAGAATCGTTCAATTAGTCGTTAGATTAGTCGACTAATCGATAAAATAATCGACAGACTAATCGTTTAATTAATAATCGTTTACCCCAGCCCTAATGAATAGTCATATTAAATATTGGGTTTCTTTTGTAATTCTATATTGCCCAGCCCTACTCTGATTACAAGCCATTTTATTATTAGTTGAAAGAAGCAAAGGCCTTCCCAAAAAGAAGCGCAAAGATTAAGAGAAAAGCCTCAAATTAGGCCTAACGCCAATATATTTGTAGACAAAGATAACAAATGTCTTCTAATGAAATTATTATTCTAATGCGCTATGGACCGCTGCCAGCCAGTGAGTGCTGGTTACATTTCATCATTGACTGGCTTCAACCATAACAGGCCGAGACTCCAGAACATGGTCTGGGCAAAATCAGGAAATCACTCAACCTCAATAACAGGAAGCTCTTTTTAGCAGGTTTATGGGTCAGGTCAAGTAAAGCACTCGAAATGAGCTAGTCTGCAAAATCTGAAATGACCAAAAGGAGAGAGAAAAAAAAAAAAACATGTAAAAGAAAAAGAAAGAAAAGAAAAACTAAAAAGGTCTGGATGTCCAGATGGGTTTTAAAAGAGTGACACGGGAAGCACGGGTCAGAAGCACTAGAAAGAAATGTGCAAAAAAAAAAACCCACAAATATAACAGATAATAACACCACACCACCAAAAGAGAAAAGTATAGTAAAGATCCAGAGACACACAGGAATCAGAGGATTATCTTCACACACACACAGAGGCGAGTGGAGCGGATGAGCGTGTGTGTAGCGTGAGCGCTGGAGTGTGTGTACCTGAGGCCAGGGCCGCAGCAGGAGGAGGGCCCGCCTCTCCACCGCTCTTCTGGCTCATGGGGAACCGGCTGTCCTGCTGAGCGACCGAGGGCAACTGCAGCTCTTTGGGGAGCAGGTCATACACTGACTCTGCAACACAGAGGTCCGCTGCAGATTAGGGCTGACACACAAACATTACAGTTTAGAATATTCCTAGAATAAAAAAATTAAATAAAAAAAAGAATTGTAAAAACCGTGCATTCAAATTTTTGGTGGGTCAAGATTGTTAATTTGAAAGGCTTCCTGCTGACGAAAACCCTCTCAGTCTGCGGCAAAAATGAACGACACACTTGACCAAACCGGCACATCGTGTGTGTGTGTGTGTGTGTGTGTGTGTGTGTGTGTGTGTGTGTTCATCAGCTGAAACACCATCAACAGAAAGCGCTCAGATCAAAGTCGAGCGTCTGGTGTTTGTGATGAACTATATGTAGATGTAGTGAGTAGAAGTGGAGTGTGTTCATGTAGTTCATTACGCTGTGTGTTGAAGTGTGTTTTCTCAGGTTACTGATGCACGAACACCGTTTTCTATGAATCTAATTTTCCTTGCATGCACATTAGAACTATTGTTTCAAAAGTGAATGCACTTTAAAAAGTGAATGTCATTTCATTTCAATAAAAGATGCTTGATTTGGTTTATGTTTCCTTGTTGCCCTCTTGTAACCTGGCCCTTGCCAGATGAATTTCGCTCCGCCTAGCTTCACTCACATCCATCTGGAACCGATCCATTGAAATGGCGTTTCAGAAGGCTGGGCCTTATCAAAAATCCTTGCATATGATTGGATAAGCCACTTGTCTGTCATCTTTATCGACGTGCTATTTCAACCACTCACACCGAAGCCAACCCGTGACGCTGAAGAATCCGGTCGGGAGAAGGCACTGATCTATATAACATCGTTTCCACCAACAAAAGCCTTAAGAGCCGTTCTCTGATGTTCTTTTAATGAAACAATATTAGGTAGATTGGACAACACGGATGAAATAGCAGCATCAATGTTAACGCTTGTTTCCTCGATGCGAGCCGCCATTGTTGTCTGAATCAAAACAGTCTCACGGTCGCTTCTCCACTACGTCACATCTATGAAACTCCCGCCCTGCGTCCTGATTGGCTAAACCATAAAGTTGGTTGGAGAAATCACTCTCAATGGAAGAGGTTCCAGATGGATGTGAGTGAAGCTAGGCGGAGCGAAATTCATCTGGCTAGGGCCAGGTTAGCCCTCTTGTGGGCACAGGAGACAATACAGCACTTTTCTCCTCTAACATTAGGAATTGCCTTTAGAATTCGAATATAATTCAAATTTTGCTAATATTTAAGAAAGAAATTCAAATTTAGCTTTTCAGCCATTTTATAGCTTTTCAAGAACAATACAATGTTGAGCAATAATGAATAATCTTGCAGCATCGGTGCTTCTGCTTTTGAACAGCACTGACAATGTTATTGTTTATTAATGGGTCCCAATCTGTTTCACAAAGGCTGTGTTGACACAATGACGTGATGTCATAAGATATGGCCATAAAAAGCACAGCATGCTCAATAATTCTCATCATAATTCTCATCATTCTGTCCAGGCGTGAGAACCGCGTCTCCTCGCAGCAGATCTTCATTCTCCTTTACACATTTATAAGCCCTTGTAAAAAATGTCAACATATTATGCACATACACAGCATTGGTCTGGATGTTTTGTAAGTTCTGTCACAAGATAATAGTTCTAAAAATTGTTCTCAATATTAAAGAATAGAAGAGTTCACAGCACAGGCTATAACGATAAAGATATAGAGAAACAATATCGTTAGAAAGATTTTTTTTTTTCAGCTGTTGAATGATAAAACACTGACAGCCAATCAGAATCCATTCTAATTTAAGGGCTTGCGTATTTAAAATGGCAGACGACATGACGGAGAAGTTAATCGCCGAGGTCCAGAAAATCCTGCAGTTTGACAAGTCAAGCCCCTTTTCAGGAAATTGGATATGGAAATCAACCGTTCACACCCTCTGAATGAACAGAAGTTTTACCTCAGGTTTCCAGCGCTCGTTTACACAACATTGTCTTGCTTCCTTTAAAGTTGCGGTGAAAAAGACCAGGGCCCGTATGTATAAAACTTCTAATAAATGCTCTTAAGAATAGTCTTAAGCTTTGACTTAAGTGTCAAAAAGTACTTAGTAAAAAGTAGGACATCTCTAAGAGTAGGATACTTTTATAAAGCAGCTAAAAGCAACTTTCAGTAAAGGATAAGACTGATTCTTAAGTGCTGACTGAAGTGGGACTTAAGTGCTGTAAACTAAGGACTACAATGATGTCAACGCAAAATGGCCGCCCTCACCCTCTGCAAGGGTGAGGTCACAGCAGCATGACACCAATTATTTAATGTAATTAAAATAAAATAATTTAATTAAGACACTGAAACTTTAGTATTTAAATGTATTTTTTTAAATTGCTTTGCATTGTGCAAAATTATCACAAATTAGTATTGAAGGAAAATTGTCAGATTCACCCTTTATTCAAATAGTATTAAAAATGTGTTAAATATTTTGTAAGCGTATTGTGTAGTTGTGCCTGGAGTCAATTGTTTATTTGTGATAACACAATAAAACATTCCAAATTGTACAGACATAATTTTTAGCCAGCCTTTCATACATATAAATTATGAACACGTGAAAAAACAAGAGAGGGCAATGAAATATTAAGAAATGATTATTTTGCAGACAATGTATGATTTTTTTTCTCCTGTGAGCTTTTTAATTTTTCTAAAACCTGTAGCTGTAGTTTGCCCTTATTTGTCACTTAATATTTTAAAATAATATTGATCTGCCTGCAATGACACCATTATATGAGAACTGAACTGAGCTGGACGATGACATCACTGTTTTCTCCAGAGCGGCTGTATAGATAAATGAACTAAATAGATAACTAATGATTTTTTACAATGGAAATTAAAGCTTTAGCTTAAGTTCTGCCAGGAAGACTAAATTGTCAAATCACCCGGGGGTCCTTTACCTGTCCATACCTCATACCTCCCAGGGGTCACTCCTTTACCTGTCCATACCTCATACCTCCCGGGGGTCACTCCTTTACCTGTCCATACCTCATACCTCCCGGGGGTCACTCCTTTACCTGTCCATACCTCATACCTCCCGGGGGTCACTCCTTTACCTGTCCATACCTCATACCTCCCGGGGGTCACTCCTTTACCTGTCCATACCTCATACCTCCCGGGGGTCACTCCTTTACCTGTCCATACCTCATACCTCCCGGGGGTCACTCCTTTACCTGTCCATACCTCATACCTCCCGGGGGTCACTCCTTTACCTGTCCATACCTCATACCTCCCGGGGGTCACTCCTTTACCTGTCCATACCTCATACCTCCCGGGGGTCACTCCTTTACCTGTCCATACCTCATACCTCCCGGGGGTCACTCCTTTACCTGTCCATACCTCATACCTCCCGGGGGTCACTCCTTTACCTGTCCATACCTCATACCTCCCGGGGGTCACTCCTTTACCTGTCCATACCTCATACCTCCCGGGGGTCACTCCTTTACCTGTCCATACCTCATACCTCCCGGGGGTCACTCCTTTACCTGTCCATACCTCATACCTCCCGGGGGTCACTCCTTTACCTGTCCATACCTCATACCTCCCAGGGGTCACTCCTTTACCTGTCCATACCTCATACCTCCCGGGGGTCACTCCTTTACCTGTCCATACCTCATACCTCCCGGGGGTCACTCCTTTACCTGTCCATACCTCATACCTCCCGGGGGTCACTCCTTTACCTGTCCATACCTCATACCTCCCGGGGGTCACTCCTTTACCTGTCCATACCTCATACCTCCCAGGGGTCACTCCTTTACCTGTCCATACCTCATACCTCCCGGGGGTCACTCCTTTACCTGTCCATACCTCATACCTCCCGGGGGTCACTCCTTTACCTGTCCATACCTCATACCTCCCGGGGGTCACTCCTTTACCTGTCCATACCTCATACCTCCCGGGGGTCACTCCTTTACCTGTCCATACCTCATACCTCCCAGGGGTCACTCCTTTACCTGTCCATACCTCATACCTCCCGGGGGTCACTCCTTTACCTGTCCATACCTCATACCTCCCGGGGGTCACTCCTTTACCTGTCCATACCTCATACCTCCCGGGGGTCACTCCTTTACCTGTCCATACCTCATACCTCCCGGGGGTCACTCCTTTACCTGTCCATACCTCATACCTCCCAGGGGTCACTCCTTTACCTGTCCATACCTCATACCTCCCGGGGGTCACTCCTTTACCTGTCCATACCTCATACCTCCCAGGGGTCACTCCTTTACCTGTCCATACCTCATACCTCCCGGGGGTCCTTCACCTGTCCATACCTCATACCTCCCAGGTGTCACTCCTTTGCCTGTCCATACCTCATACCTCCCGGGGGTCACTCCTTTACCTGTCCATACCTCATACCTCCCAGGGGTCACTCCTTTACCTGTCCATACCTCATACCTCCCGGGGGTCCTTCACCTGTCCATACCTCATACCTCCCAGGTGTCACTCCTTTACCTGTCCATACCTCATACCTCCCGGGGGTCGGCTGCGCTCCGCCTGCGTCTTCAGGCAGTAAAAACAGACTCCGTTACCCTCAGATTGCGAGCTACGGACGGGGCCTACGCAACAGAACTTTATAACACAATACTTGCTTGATGGGCTGTTAATAAATGTATACTTCGTCACGTCATTTTGCCTCCCGAGTCTTTCTGGTTGAAATTAATAAACACTGAACTTACTTAAGCAGGACAATGACACTATTTTCTTCTAGAGCTGCTGTACAGCCAAGACTAATTTTGTTGCATTATTTTCCAGTAATCTCAGTAAAGCTGCTTTGAAACTGTAATCTGTATTGTAAAACTGTAGAAATAAAGGTGACTTGAAATAATTTTGTCAGATAAATACTTTCACTAAGTTTAGTGTTTTGTTCTTCCCTCATATTTTAAAATATGTAAAAAATATTAATATAAAAATATTTTCCTCATAATTTGACGGTTGAAGCAAACTTGTAGGGTCATAAAAAAATTTTTTTAAACTCTGCACATCACTTTTGGCCACCACTGTATATTTGGTGTGGTCAGTGTCACAATA